CGCCAGCACACAACGCGCTATCTGTGAAGAGGTATTTGGCAAAAAACAACATTCCAGTGATGGAACATCCACCGTATTCTCCGGACCTAGCACCGTGCGACTTTTTTCTCTTCCCAAAAATCAAGTCTGCGCTGAAAGGGACCAGGTTCGAGTCCGTGGATGCAGTGAAAGCAAAAGCGACGCAACTCTTGAAGAGCATAACACAAGATGACCTGCAGCACTGCTTCCAACAGTGGAAAATTCGCATGGAGCGGTGTAGGGATCGGGGAGGGGACTACATTGAAGGGGATAACATTTCGACTGTCTGATTTTTTTTTAATAAAGGGTTAGAGCATGAATCCGGTTTCTTTATTGCCACACCTTGTATTGAAGTAAACCCAACATATGTTGGAACACAGACATGCATGCAGAACCGTAGAAGATACCATGGACATCTTAAAACTTTCAAAAAAAGGTACCATATATGGATACCTTAGGAAGATACTATATGTGTAAAGTTAGCAAATTGAGAATACAAATTAATGACACCTATGAAGAGATGACTGACCCAATTTACAAAACCCTACACAAATATAAACACACTCTCCACTCAGTTAACAGAGGCCCCCCTCTCCCAACCACCTTCTCACACCCAAACCACCAGTTCATCCATGACACACCAGTACAGACAGCTGCTTGATAGTACACAGTGATGCTATACAGTTTGGCATGGGAGATGGAAATGCATAAGAAGCTCCATAAGTGCACATAAAATAAGAAAAGCTGCTTCTGTAAATGTAGGATCTCTTTGCATGTATTACAGAAAATGGAACTGTCCCAGTAAGAACAACCATCTAACAATGAGAATCAGCCTGTGCTCTGTATGAACAGTGTGTCTTCAAGGATCTCAAGGCAATCTGACCCCAGTGAGAGCAGTGGAACAAAGGATACCTGTGAAATGGACAGACAGACTATTGCTCGATACTGTGCATTCAAGAAAGATTCAGAATCCACAACTTCACCTTGAACTACAGTGTATACCAATATATATATATATATATATATATATATATATGAGGTAGTCTGTTGTAAATGTAGTATATAAAGCTAAAGTTGTCTCTGTGCTTAATTAAGCACCATCCCTATGAAGGTGGCTGCGGGAGTGGAGGTATAGCTCCACCATTTGTAACCTCGGCACTAGATGGAGGTGAGTAGTCAGCTTCATGCCTCGGCCACTTTGCTCCCAAGACAAGAGACCCAGGTGCCCTTTTGATGGGAGGCTGGGTGTGCTCCAAGGCTGGTGTGGATGCTGCGGAGTGGAGAACAATTTCTTACCGTGACAGAAATTGAACCCTGACCATCCAATCCATAGCATGCTGCTATACTGAGCTGTCCCAGCTCCCTATAATATATAACATGTGGATCCACTCATCGTACATATAAATTTATGCTAATTGTAACTGAATTGTAGCTGAAGATGGCACACATGTACCAAAATATGTTATCAGGGAATCCGCCTATTGGAAGTAGTGTTATGTTAACAAAGAATAGAACTAATATTTGAGACTGTGAAGTTTGGGTTGGGTTCTGCATTTTTCTTTTGATTGATAGAAATATTGATTTGGAAGTTAAAGTTTTTGTTGAAATTGATATCGAACTTAATATTAAAATGTTTGATACTATCCAATTTATGTTTTCTTCCCTCTTGGATAAGATGTAGGTCTTACTGGTGGATCCTTATTCTTTTGTATATCATATGATAAGGTTCTTATTGAATGTTTTACAGGTTGGAAGCCCATAAACGAGCATTGGAAAGTGGAGAAAATGAAATGCTTGGAATTCTGCAGGAGAAGGAAGTGGCTCTGACAACTTTGGAGCAGCAGTGCCGAAAGCTGGGCATGCAGGAAGAGCAATTGGAAGGGAAAGTTGAGCAACTGCAGGATGACACTGCATTATATAGGGAACTGCTTCAGGTAGGTTATCTGTGAGTGCAGCAACTCTGATAGCAGACATGCAATTTATGTAACATTGCTATCAGTAGCTCAGGATATATGGAGTAAAGTGATAGGATGAATAATGATTTCAAAATGATGTGACAGGGAACAGTCAAGTTCTGTTTTTAAATACTGCCCTTGCATATGTCTTATATTTAAGAATTCAGTCTTGATAATTGGTATAGTATTTCTATACTTTCATTGTTACATTTCAAAGTATCACCCAAAACAAGTGTAAAATCTAGAGAAGTGTAAAAAAAAATGCTCCATGGCTTTTAGTCCACAAGTGAACTAGAGCAACTGCTGCTTGGTGGCAAAGTTAGTGCCAACTTTTTGCAGGTAGAGTGTGTCACATGAACAGTGCAATGGATTCCCATGGCTGTTCAGGAAAAAATGAATGTTACAACATAAAGAAAACTGTGGTCATTATGGTGTAATTTTGAAGAATCATTTGAAATACATGTGTTTGAACATTAATGATAACAATGTAAATTAAAATATGGTTCTTGGTTTATTTTACAATTCTGTATCAACTGCTGTGTTTATGTGACATTGGTAAGAGGAGATGATGCTGGAAAGGCTGTGGGAGGAAGTGGTCATATCCCATATCCCAGCATTTGCCTGGAATGACTGGCATACCTAGTTACACTGTTTCTTGAACCAGTCAGTTTTTTGTTTCTTTTCTCCTTGAGTTCTGATACTGTATAATTCATGTTCAACCTTGTTGCACATTACAGTATTATTGTTCATGGTATCATTTATTACATTATCTCACAAATCTTACATTTTCCTTGTTATTTGTATATGGCCAAAACATGTAGTGACAGAGAAGGTGGATAGGATAATAAGCTGCATTTGAGGTATTAATATATATCCACAAATAATAAATACAGTATTACATTTCACTCTTCTTAGGCCCGAAGTGTGATTATAATAATGTTTCAGTTCCACTATCTGAATAGCTGGAGTGTGTAAAGTAATGTGAAATCTGTTGCATTGTTACTCTTTGTGGTGATGCCAGCGGTTGAGAGGTACATGGTGTCTCTATCTTCATGGTTGAAGTATGTGGGTTGGTGAGTTGATCTGTGTTTGTGCATGCATGCAGAATTCTGTTGTTTGGAAAGGAATGTTGAAGGGGGGGAGGATTGTGTGGGGATTAGTGCCTCGTATCAACCGGTAGGAACAGTTGACAGCCCTTTTCAGGGCCAAGGAAATACATCAAAAATCTCTTAGCAACTGACACATTTCCGTGGCTCTCAGAAGTCCAGTTGGCACAGCTGTATTCAATCCACTGTTTTCACTGGCCAAGACAAGCTGCTGTTCCTCACTTTGTCCTCCCTTCCACCGTTCCTTTCAAACAACAAAATTATATATATAACATACATAGGCACGCAGTAGAGTAGTTGGTTGAGGGGCTATGCTACAAGCCAGAAGGTCATGGGTTCAAGTCCCAATGAGGTCTTTGGATTTTTTCAATTGACCTAATCCTTCCAGCCGCACTATGGCCCTGGGGTCAAAGGGTGGCAGGAGCGTAAGGCTGACAACCTTACCGCTATCTTTGAGCCGATTGTCTAGATAATGTGGGACCCTCAACGTCTCACAACCCTATGGGCCTTCACGGCCTCTTACAGGGATAGCTTTACTTTAATTATATAACATACATACACAACAGCTCACTGACATATATATTTTGACTCTGAAGATGGAGGCAGTATATACCTCTGAAATATCATAACCACAACCACATTGCATAACAACCCAAGAGCATAATGTACATCAATAACTAACCGTCATGAAAGCTTAAAATCAGTAAATTTTTAAATTGTCAATGACCCTACTTAACATGTAAGTTAAGTTAAGACGACTTTCTTCAGACCCTACTTAACGTTTCACATTTTTTAGTAAGCCCAGTAGAACATTTTAGGTACAAGATATGATACCTCCTTTCTCATGGATACTGAGAAGAATATTTCAGCACCTCACATATTTTGACTGAGCCAATATGGTTCACTCTATATATATGTAATAATGAGAATTATTTTTATAAGGCAAAAGACCGGGCTATTGTGGAGCTGACAAACCAGCTACACGACTCCAAAGCAGCCGGTGTGAAAAGAAGCACACAGGCAACTCAAACTGATAAAATGTTGGGGAGCTTGACTGATGCCCTTGAAGCCTACACTTCCCAGAATCAGTTCTTAAATGAAGAACTGTTGGAAGTGAACCAGTTATTGCAAGAGTCCATGCATCGAGAAGAAAAATTGCTTGTGTAAGTTTTATCAGCAGTTTTAGTTCAGTACTTTCAGTTGAATGTCTTATGTAGGCCTTCTGCTTATTTTTGTGTGAAATCTGAAGTAGGTTAGTTTGTACTGTGCATATGTTAAGGATGCAGCAAAGGACCCCCCCCCCCTTCACATTATATGGTCATGAATAACTTTGGATCCATGGAATGAAATTTGTATGTATGTATGTATGTAGTACTAGGAGCAGGGCTGCAATGCAGTGTCACAGGCCAACCAAGTGTCTACCTGCAGCCATGCATTTTAGCCCCCCCCCTCCATTATTTGCTTCTTGTTGCCTGTTAAATTAACCGTTCAGCGTGGTTTGACGTGTATATTTCGTCAGGTATTTAAATCTTCTGCGGGGGTTCGACGTCTATGTATCGTCCAGCTGCACACCTGTGTTATAACACCCATAATAATTGATGGTTTTGCTGTAGATTGTTAGATTTTTCGCTGGCCTGTTGTCACAAGAACAGTATATAATAAGCCACGAGTTTAGCTGCGCTAAGTCATCGTTACATATGCCTGTCTTGCAGCAAAATTCCTGTTGCTCTTGGGAGAGGTTTCCTCATTCAAACTGTTATGAATGGCATGTTTTCTTTCCTATGAAGTTATAAACAGCAGAGACGTGATATGTGCTGTGTTTATAATATCATATTGCCCTGAGCTGGCCACACTAACACACTCAATTGGAATTCTTAGAAGAGGGATGTCCAAAAATTTATTCTTGCAAGATCGATTGATTTCGCACAGTACATAGCAGCCAATTCTTAGAATAACGTCACGAATTAAGGCAGAACACTGTGGTCACCCCCTGTGACGATACGGGTGTGTGTGGGGGGGAAGAACTCATTCCTTCATGTATTATCGCTCCAGTTGACTCCATTTTATCGTACTGACCTTGGTGGTCGTTTCGAGGGATGACCATAAATATTTTTTTGAGCCAGCTAAGCTCTACTTTCGTTCACTACATACCAGACAGTTCTTAGAATAACTTCATGAATTCTGTGGTCACCCCTACGACATCTTAGAATATGAAACGCAGAAGCACCAACCCCTTGTTATGATAACATAAAGGTTGAATTTACTGCAGCTAATCTGGCAAGCAGTACGTCTCACGCAGAGACATTTCCTCTTGTATTCCCCCCACGGGGAAGAAGGCAAGGCCGCACAGAAGATGTGTGGTTAAAAAAAAAGGGTGCCCAACGTTGTGTTTAGAAGAATGCTTCAAGGCATCACCTGCTTCCATTGCCGAGATACCGGGCGCTCATATTATAAGGCAAGGTTATAAAACCATCTTTTAAGATCATTTTAGTGAAAGTTTCATGATTCAAGGCCTACCCTACACTGCTCAAATTCTAAACCAACTGCTTCCATTGCCGAGATACCGGGCGCTCATATTATAAGGTAAGGATATAAAACCACCTTTTAAGATCAATTTAGTGAAAGTTTCATGTTCCTATCTCATAATTTAAGAACAATGATGAATAAATCATTTTCGAGCAAAATTTAAATGGACGGCTGAATATATTACCGCCGGAGAGACACGGCAACGGAATTTAAATGACCGCGCGAAAGGGTTAAAAGTAATTTATGTTCCTCTTTTGTTCATATTCTGACCATTGAATCACAACATGTTATGCAGCAATGTAAAGTAAATTGTTCTAAGAATTTCATCACTGATAATGGTTTTCATCAGAATGTCTAGAAATTCTGTGTTATTTTGATGAGATTTTGCAAAAGTTGATCTATTCTTAACAGAGGGAGGATTTATTGCCACCTGGCCAGTACGTATGCTTGTGTCAGCTACTTTCTGTGGGGTACCTTACTGCAGTGATCAAGTTGATAATTTCAGTGCTCTAGAAGTCTGGGTATTGCATGATTATGAGTGCAGCATAGTGTGACAGGAGCAGTGTTTGGTCTTTATTGCCCTTTCTTGTTCTTCACATTCTGCAATAACAGGGCATAGAATGTGGAGGATACCACAAAACAAATCATAGGTTTACACTGGGAAGGGTAGGAGAGAAGTGAAAGCTTGGTTCAGGGGTACTCATGTATGGGAAGGGTCCTTCAGTACGAGTAAATCCAGAATGTAATGAAAATAAAAAGGTGCCCAGATGAACCCACAGATTGCTCTTCCATGTATGGATGATCAGGAGCAGGGTCTTTTGCAAGTTATCAGTGCCAGTTAAATGGAAGATGTGTTCTGGTATGCATGAGGTGTTTCATAATTTGTCTATCGATCTATCTGTCTGTGGCTCTACAACCCTTGTGAACCTTGGCAGCTTTTTCAGTTTCCTAATCTGTACACAGTCAGGACTCCTTGGACTTGGGATCAGCCCATCATAAGGCTGCTGTCTACATACGGTGTAGCACCAACACAGAATAAATGCACATAGACACCCATGCCTCAAGTGGGGTTCAAAACCGCAATACCAGTGTTCGAGCAGGCTAAGATAGTTCATGCCTTAGATTGAGGGACCACTGTATTCTTCCATACCCTACATCAGATATTATTAGAGTTATAAAATTAAATATGATAAGATAGGCAAGGCAGAAGCACACATGGAGGAGATGAAAAATGTAAGATTTGAGGCTTTCACGGTGGTGACTATGAAGAAAGCAGTCTTCTGGGATTTGGCACTGTGTATATACACGGTGCCAAATCCCAGAAGACTGCTTTCCAGTCTGCTTTTACCGTTCTCACGGTCTTGTCGCTTGCAGATTTCTTATACTTTTTCTTCAGTCTGCTTTTACCGTTCTCACGGTCTTGTCGCTTGCAGATTTGTTATACTTTTTCTTCTACCCTGAGGATGGAGGCGATACGTTCCTCCGAAACGTCGGTTAACACCACATATACACGGTGCCAAATCCCAGAAGACTGCTTTCTTCGAGATGAAAAATGTTTAGTTTTATGTAACTGGAATTCATGAAGGCAGAAAACAGTTTATCAGGCATAGTTGTAGGTAGAGAAATATATTAAAAGTGCATGTTAGGATGGGAATGGTAACAAATCAAAACATGATTCAGGAGGAAGTTAAGAGGAGATACTGAGGATGTTGTTGAGAATATTTGGACCGAAGAGAGATGAAGTGACGGGAGGTTGGAGAAAACTGCACAATGAGGAGCTTCATAACTTGTACTCTTCTCCAAGTATAATTAGAATGATCAAGTCAAGGAGGGTGAGATTGGCAGGGCATTTAGCACGAATAGGGGGAGAAGAGGAATGCGTGTAGGATAATGGTGGGAAATCCAGAAGGAAAGAAACCAGTAGGAAAACCAAGAAATAGGTGGGTGGTCTATATTAAAATGTATCTTAGAGAGATAGAATAGGGTAGCATGGACTGGATTGATCTGGCTGACGATAGGGACCAGTGGAGGGGTCTTGTTAACATGGCAATTAACCTTTGGGTTCCATAAAATGCTGGGAAGTTCTTGAATAGCTGCACAATTGGCGGCTTCTCGAGAAGGGCTCAGCTCCATGTGAGAGAGAGGGAGGGGGGTTAGGGTTGGGAATGGGTTGAACTCATTCCGGATAGTCCTCAGTGACAGGTTGTTGTAAACACAGTCATAAACTTACGGGTTCCATAATAGGTATGGAATTTCTTGACCAGCTGAATATATGCCATAGTTAGGTATGTGTTATATTCTCATTCTGTTTGTTCATGTGACCCTACCAACTGCTCAAAATCCTGTACCAGTTAATGAGATCATACCTTTGTATGTTAAATTGTATCACAGTGAAGCAAGCGAGTGGGAGGCCCGCTTCTATCAAATCCAGAGCAAGTACATGCTGTTACTTAATGAGCTACAGACCCCGGAAAGCAGCCAGAACAGTGTCAGGTTCCGTGAACTGATTGCGCGGCTTATGGGTGACTCAGTGACAGGAAGTACGCCATCATTAAGGTAAGTGTTAGTCTTATTGTCAAGTTAAATAAAAAGTCTTGTAATAAATTAAGAGAGAGGTAGAGTACTTGGACCTAGAAGGGCTGAACTGAATTGGAATGGGAGAAATATTATAATGAAAATCTGTGCCCTTCATCTAGTACTGTAACGGTGATTAATTCAAGAATGATGTAATCTGAATATAATTGTTATTCTCTGTGGCACTTGTTGAATTTACGAGTACAAATTATGAAGCTCGTCAGACTAAACCTTCTCAGACACCCTCAGTCTATGTATTAACCTTGATGCAAGAGACCAGGTTTTACATGTGTAATTCAGTAGGCAAAATTATTATATGTTGTTTAGTTTCATATTGTTAGTTGCATATGGGAAGCCAAAAGATTCTGAACTGAACGAGAGGAAGCCTTCTTACCTGGGCAGATACATCCTGCTGACTTACATTTTGTTTTTATAGAAGTTCCAGCAAAACCTACAATGTGTATGGGTTCCAGCAAGAAGTAGTTTCAGAGAAGTCACCAGTATCACAGGTGTGTATAAGTGTGTGCACATGCATACGTATGCCTGTTAATAGTCAAGAAAGCAGTTCATATTACTAATGTTGATCCATTAGGTTATTTTATATCTCATACAAGAAACTGACATAGGATATATAATACTATAAGCTATTTACACTTTTAATTTACTCGTATAATTATGTGGCCTTGGCCTCAAGATGGTGTGCTGGCTCTGAAACATGGAGCTCAGTAATGAATATTATAAATCAGTCTGAATCAATATAAGTACTAGGCATGTGTGGGTCGCAAATTCTCAGGTCTAGTGGTCACAGTTCCTGGTTACAGATCCAGAGGTTCTGGGTTCGATCCCCAGCGCTACCAGATTTTCTGAGAAGTAGTGAGCCTGGAACGGGGTCCACTCAGCCTCATGAAGATAAATGAGAAGCTGTTTCAAGGAAATAGCAGCTCCAATCTAGAAAACCAAGATTGACGGCTGTGGGGATCCGTTGCGCTGACCATGTGACACCCTCCATCCACAAAAGTTGGCACTAACTTCGCTGACAAGCTGTGGTCACTCAGTAGGTATACTTCGCTTGCGGACTACAGGCCATGACGTTATCTTGAGATATTTTGATAAATAGAGAAGATTTCTGAATTTTTATTCTAAACCTTTATTGGTTATGAATCACACCGGCTGCTCAGCCATACTGTACCAGAGGGATTTAAGATCACTTATTCCCAGATGATAAATATTAATCAGTATATCTCCTTTGTGCCCAGGAGTTGAATAAGAAGCATCTGGCCCAGTGGGATGGGATTGTAACTTCTTTGGAGAGTCTGGAGCTCCACCATATTCCTGGATTAAAAGCATTGATACGCAGTGGGATTCCATATCATCACAGAGTAAGTACCGAACTCCATGGAGCAGAGCCCTTGAAAAGCTGCAAGTCAGCTGCTCAAGAAATACAGTAGTCTTCTTTTTAAGGAATCCAAAGGTTCCTTAGTGTGTTCACAAGAGCCCTCTACTGGTCCCCATCCCAAGCCAGATGAATCCATTGAACATCTTCGCACACTTTTCTTTAAGATCCGTTTTAATGTTATCCTCCCATATACTTCTAGGTTATTGAAGTAGTTTCGTCCCTTCTGGTTTTCCAACTAAACTTTGTATGAATTTCTCATCTTCCATGCCTACTGCATATCCTGCCCCTCCTTCAGTTGACAGGTGTAATATTATTTGATGAAAATCACAAATTATGAAGCTTCTCATTTTGAAGTTTTCAGTAGCATACTTTTGCTTCTTTTTCAGGTCTTAATATTGTCCTCAGGGCTCTGTTCTGAAACATTATGAATCTGCTTTCTTCTCGTAATGCCAGTGCAGTAATAAATCTTTGTATTACATAAATAATAGTGAATTTCATCACCCCTGAGTGACTGTTAGTTTGTCGAGAATAACTCTGCTTTATGTAGTTAATATAAAATTTCACTTTGCCATATGTTTATTGTTGTCACGTGTCCAGGGTTCCGTGACTAATAATAATGGGTTCTGGATTGGATGATTGGATTTATGGACACCTTCATTTACAGTCTCTCTTAATCACAATCAATTACAGCGCTATTGGTAATCTGCCCACTTCACAAATTGCTAGGACACACCATCTGTTTCCTGGCAATGGATTTATCACAGGAATTATCACTTCAAACCACTATGAAGTCTTCTTTCCATTTCTTGTCCAGTTACCTTGGACTGCCGAGCCTCCAGAACTCAACCCAGTTCTCCTATTCTAATTCTCTAATCTAATCTAGCTACAAACAAACCATTGTTATATAGCTGTGGCACGGACCACAAAGAAAACACCTTATTCTGTTAGGGATGTGTTTACAGCTCTGTTGCCTAGCACTGGGCATGGCGTAGACTGTATAGAAAACACCACTTCTGTTGTCAGAATTAATGTGATACCCAGCAACTAATTGTAGCGTGGTCCACAAAGAACACAGCTCCTATTGTAGCATGTTCGCTGGAATGTGTATATTGAGTCGTTGGCTAGCAGTGGTCATATTCGTCACATTATTTTGTCTTTCAACAATGATTGCATTTGGCTCTTGAATACATTGAGGGTTAACTTGAGTTTGAGACACTTTGTGCTTGGACATGCAGGGCCGTGTGTGGAAAGCAATGTTGGATCATCATCTGCGAGGATTTTGGAAGTACTCTGAACCGGAATATTACAAAGAAATTTTCCAAGTTGCCTCACAGCCTCATATGTCCCCTGCAGCCAAACAGGTAACCCATTCTTGTACTTCATTTTCTTTTTAACCCTTGCATACCACAAGCTGATCAGATCAGCTTGGTGTGTTTGCATTAAAACTGCCACAGCCAAAGAGTTTACCATTATGTTAATCACTTAGTGCATCATTTACATCAATAGATGGCATCATGCTTGATATACCGATGTTCGAATGTAGAACAGACTTCCATGGTATTGATACCATGAAATATATTATCACAGTTATCACAAGTTTTGCACAAGATTTGTTCCAGAAATGCTCACAGGTGCATACAAATGCACAGAATGGCTTCAGCTTTGACTTTTTTAAGACTGATACCACAAAGATGATGATGAACTTCTCACATCATACAAGTAACAGGTGATGAAACCTGGCTTTCATTTGTGAATGGTGGAACCAAACAAGTGTCAAAGCACTGGATGCAGACACATTCACCAAACAAGCCGAAAATGTTCACACAGATGTCTGTCAGAAAGCTGATGACAACTGTTTTCTTGGACAGGAAAGGAGTGCTGGTGGTGGAATTCTTGCAACAAGGGATCACAATAATGTCAGAAGCGTACTGTGAAACACTGAAAACTGCATAAGGCCAATCAGAAGAAAAGGCTTGGAATGCTGACATCCAATGTAGTGCTCCTCCATAACAATGCATGTCCCCATACAGCTGCTCGCACTTGAGAACTGCCAGAGCATTTCAACTGGCATTTGTTTCACCACCCTCCTTACAGTCCTGATCTCACTCCGATAAGACTACCATCAGTTAACGCACCTGAAAAACAGGTTGAGATTTCAGCACTTCAACAGTAGTGAGGAGTTAATGAAAGGTGTCAAAATGTAGCTGAGCTCATAGGTGGCAGACTTCTTTGGCACAGACAAACAAAAACTTGTTCCCTGATATGACAAGTGCCTCAATTCCAGCAGTGACTATGTTGAGAAGTAGCTTAAGTATCTTCATATTTTTTGTGTATAATTTTTTTTTAGTTCTTGCTTTGGTAATGCCTAACTGACGGTTACTTTCTGAATAGCCCTCGTATTACACATAGAGCAAGTTAAATATGTGATTTGTGGTAGTTTTTCGGTTTTTAATGACACAGAATGAAGAAAAACTGAAGCATAATGGATTGAACCAAAGACCTCTGCATTATGCCCAGAGTTACCAAGCCTTTGTAACAAGTCATCTTATGTTGTGATCATATCAGAGGGAATATTTTGAAGCCTATTTTTTGGAAACCAATACCCATTTGATGAAAGGGCTAGACACATGCTTTTATTTTCTCTGTGCTCTCCGTTGCCTCTGTTTCCATTGAAATCCACATCCCAAGTCTCATGCTGTCCCTTTATGAGTCTTATAGAGATTTGTTGTGAATTTTGGATGAGGGGATTGTTTAAATCAATGTTACAGTCTTGAAACTACAGCACATAAACATGGTCTTCCCTGCTATTATGAAATTATGAGTGGGTTTCATTTGATTAAAATATGAATGAAAATGTATGAAAGTGGCTCTTAGTTTTCAGGTGCGAGTACTCATTTTGATTCGTGTGAAAGTATTACATTGCAAGGTTTGTATTGTTGTCACTCAGAATAAAAGTTGGTATAGAAGGAACATGAGATATCTGTTTCAGATTGAAACCGATTTGTTGCGGACATTGCCCAGCAACAAGCATTATGAGTGTATGAATGCTGACGGTATCCCAAAGTTACGCCGGGTCTTGCTTGCTTTCAGTATTTACAATGCAGATGTTGGATATTGTCAGGTATGCTAACAGTGTCGGTAATTTCCATGGAAAAGTATGGAAGCTGTTGTGGTATTACTATTTTAGCCAATTATCAAGAATCACTTTACTAAATAAGCATTTTTATTGTGTATCTATGGAATGCATTAGTGTGTTGACATCCGTCTCTTGAACACTGCTTTTTCATAACTAATGTTTTTTTTTGACTCTGTCCATTGTCCATTATCCTAGAAACTAGAAAACATAAAGTTTTTGAAAATGGATATGTTTCCATCCTCAGGTGAGGGGGTGGGAGACACCTAGTGTGTTGGGTCCCTTAGATAGAGCTAACCCCAAACACTGGTCCCCCCCCCCCTCTCACCTGAGGATGGAAGCACATCCAGTTTCTGAAATGTTGTGTTTTCTAGTTTCTAGAATACCGGACAGTAGATGAAGTCCAAAAAACCAGTAATTATTAGTGTTGTACACCACTGTCAAAACCATTTAGAGTCTACTGCTTTTTCAGTTTGAAAAATGTTGTAATACTACTGAAATGTAATTTTCTATTTTTCTTAACATTTTAAATTGCTTGGTATAGAATTTCCTCTTTTAATGTGTGCACTGGAAGAACATTGTGGTATTTTTTATGTTTGAACTATTATAATCATTACCATATACTTCATAATTTCTGAATGGTGTATCAGAGAAAAAATAAAGATGTCAGTTGTACTCTTACACAGAAAGAGACAGAAATATGTGGGAAAAAAGTACTGGAATTCTATTCAGTATTTCAAAATACATTAAATTCTTCTTTCTGTGTGTAAGGAACAGGATTGAGAAAGGCTAAAATGTTATTGTATCGGTGTCTGTTCTACATAAATTTCATTTTATATGAATCACATAATATACACACTATTTAAATATGATTGAAAATAAATAGGTTAATGTTATTTTATTCTCCCTTCTCCATTTTGATACTGCGATATAGTAATGCATCAGACTTCGAGTGTTGGCCAGGGCACTGCTTATCACATTGAAAGTTACTGTGGTTTTCCTTAGTTCCTGTGCTCAAAGTTTGGAATTAGTACCTTAAAACAGGTGACAGTCACTTTCTGTCCAATCCTTTCCATTTTATTGTAAGCCATCTCTCTCATTTGTGTTGTGCCAAATAACCTCTACACTGATATTATACCACTAAGTTAGCTGTAAATGAGACCAGTCTTCTGTGATACCATGTTACCATTAATTATTGCTGATTTCCATCTGGTAAATATGTTATTTTGTTTCCAAAATGTGCTTTGCGTCCTTTTTGATTTACAGGTTGTTTTTGTGTTTCTAGGGTTTGAACAGGATAGTTGCAATACTGTTGTTGTTCTTGTCTGAGGAAGATGCTTTCTGGGGCTTAGTGTACATTGTTGAGAAACTGATGCCTTCAGATTACTATGGTCAACAGCTTACAGGAGCTCAGATAGATCAAGTAAGTGCCAAAATGAGGATGTTTCAGCTGTGTGTTTTCTATGATTTTTGGATATCTTCCAGGTATTCTTTCGTTCATTTACATCTGTGACTTTATGTTTGCTGAACTGATTCCATAAGGACCCTGACTCATATGATACTTACAGCACTTTTGGTGGGACATTGGCTTAGGTTACAAGGTAAGCTGGCCTGTGTGGGGAGATTCATATAGTTTTTATTTGCAAGACATGCAGCTAATTTTTACTTAAATTTGAAGAAAGATTTAACAAATAGTAATCATTCTTTGTTACTGTTTTCAGTGATGAATTCAGCTCTTTCTTGTTTAATTAAAGTACTAAAAGTATATTACATTATCTTATGTTATCCCCCCTCAGTATTCTTTCTCCCTCGCCTTGCAGATCTATCAACATAACTCTGGGGGTTTTCTGTATTATATATGTGTTTAATACTTCGCACATCACTTTCGGGCCAAAATTTAGTCCGTCTTGTACCCTGTATAGCATATGTGGTTTGAATTTAGTTTACATGTCTTTAAAAGCAAATATTAAAGATATAAATTAGAAGATTTTTAGTGATAATGATAATTTGTGTTATATCACTTTGGCTCTCTTATTACAACTCTCAGCCCTTGATTTCACCTGGTAAGGACAGATGAGTTTCAAGAGAAATTATCTTGGAGATGGTTTTGGACCTGTGGTATGTCCCTCTGGAGTTACACTCAGGTATGAAAGGCCAGATATTTAGAAACACCTACCACCATACCACCTGCATGGCAAAGGGACAGTGAGGTGTAACCCAGAAGGAAGAAACCTTGACTAGTTTTGGTCTCCTGTCTCAGTGCTGTTAGGGATATTCTCTTTCTCCAGTCTCTGGTATTAAGGACTATGTTAAAGCAGAGACAGGTCCAGTGAAGTGAAGGTAAATACTCCTGAAGACAGTCTTATGTTCCAGGTATAAATTTATGATGTTTTTGTACTATTGGTGCAATTAAAGATGGCTCCTATTTAGACATTTTGAAGGGTCAGGCTTGTTTGTCTCAGTTCGCTGATGAATAAGAATAATTTGTCATGGCACACAGAACAGAAAGTACAAATTTCATGTTTCTGGACATTGTCCATTGTCCTGTTTTTATCCAAAATGCCATAGATAAAAACAGGACGATGGATAATATCCAGAAATATAATATTTGTACTAATGTACCATTATCACAAACTTTTAAGTCTTAAGAATAAAAAGTAATTTTTGAAGGGGAGAACTGTCTTGTATCTTAATACTTCAACCAATTTTTTTTTCCGAGTTTTTAAATTAGTTCGACATTGTAATGAAATTTGACTTCCATGTTCCATCTTAAATATGCTCATTGAAACTTTAAACAATAATTTCAGTGAGTGGACGGCTTATGCTATTCTTTATCACATAGCAGTTTGTTTGTTTTCTTGAAACATCATGGTTTGAGACTGAAGTGTCTGTAATGTTCCATGAAAAGGGGGAAAATTCTTAAGTTGCCAGATGATTATTCTGAAGAAGGGCTCTGGTCAGTACTGTCACTTAATTTACATTTATACATATCAATATAAGGTTAACAACTGTCCACTGGATTGGATATTGTAGTTGAGTGACAGCATTCCTGCTGCAAGCCACTTTATGAAGTAGGTTGCACCAAAGTGGGATGTTCAGGTGGTTTTCAGAATTGGTTGGTTGTTTCTGTTTTTTTACAGTTTGTGCTCAAGGATTTGATTGCTGAAAAATTACCCCGTTTAGCATCTCACTTGGCCTGCTACAGCGTGGACATATCACTAGTCACTTTCAACTGGTTCTTGTGTATATTTATTGACAGCCTTCCTGTGGATTTGTTCTTGCAAGTGTGGGATGCATTTTTGTTTGAGGGCTCCAAGGTATGTGTGGCTTCACAGCGGATGTTCCTTGCTTTAGGATAATAGCCATATTTCTTATTATAGTGAAGTGTTGTGTTACAGTTGTATTTCATTTAGATAAACACTTCTGTACACATGTGTACAAAGCGGGTTGACACACTGGTAACACATCAGTTTTCTGTTCTGAATGGCCAGGGTTAAAATCTGAACTGGAATACCAAAAATCAGGAGGTTTCATGTTCTTCCTCAGCTCTTGCAGCTTAATTATGAGGATGGTACTTTGTGCTTTCATCCCTATTAACTTTAATTATTATAAAATGGAACTGTGATATGAGTGACCTGTAATCTGTATTTTGTTTTAGCAAGTATATTCTCATATATGATCACTTTCAATCATATTAAGCATAATAGTAATTTTTTATTTTTTTTGCTTTAATGTAAGTACTTCACAGAGGTTTTGCCATAATCACTTTTTTTCCTCATTTCTGGCTTTGTATAAACATATTTTCATGTGTATAAGTGACTATAGATGGAGTTTGGATTGGTAATTGGATTTATTGAACACTTACAGATTGTAACTACAAGTATGTACGTATAGTGCTGTCACTAATTGACACACTCTGCAATTCAGTACAGCGTGCACTAAGTTTTCTCAGTCTGCTCTGTCTTCACCTGTTGTCGCCTGGTAACATCTTCCAACACCATAGCTCCTTCAGCTTCTGTGTTCGTGTCCTTACTGTCTGGCGACTGTCTCACAGCTAACTGAACTCTAGACTTCTCCTGCTTCACCATGGACCACACAGAAAACACCTCCAAACAGTTCTTCTGTTTTTCCATCAGACAGCTGTCACATGACCCACATAAAGGACACAGCTTCTCAGTTATCCATTGGTGTGTGTTAGGAATCTGTTGTGGCCTTTGCCTAGCAACGGCCGTTGTTTACAGAGTCATTACTTAGCGATAGGTTTACATGTTACAATATGCTCAACAGTGTAACTTAGCCACTTATTTTTAATCTTTAATAGATATATAAGCAGTTACGGCAACAGCATCCTTGTGTCTTGACTAATTAGGAGCATAAATGGAAGGGGGAAGGGAAGAGAGGGTGAGTTATGGGGCGAGATAGAACCCTTAACAGTCTCAGTACATGCATGGCAAGGTGGTTATCAATAGTCACAACTTTCAAAATATTTTATTTTTTCCATGCAAATATGTGGTGCTCTCACACCATTCACCACTCTGTAGCAATGTCCCAGGCTCTCTTCTCTTCCTCTAGGGCTCTAAAGCAGTATCCCATTGTTTTGGGTGAGCTGTTTGGTAGGACAGTGTGTAGAGAGGTGAAGTAGGTGAGTTTGCTCTCAGCTTGCTGTAGAACAGATCATCTCATAACACTTATAGTATCCTTTCATGTACAGTCATATTGCCTGGATGTTTAGGGTTAACTCCACCATGCTACCACTTTCTTTCACCTTCACCTTCACCTTCACCTCCACCCTATTCACATGGACCTTTTCACAATTCATGAAACTCAGTAACTAATTTCATGGAGCTTAGCTCTTCTCAAGAAGGTACCAGTTGTGCAGCTATTCAAGAATTTCCCAGAATTTTATGGAACCCAAAGGTGCATTACTATGTTCAGAAAAGCCCTCCACTGGTCCCTATCCTGAACCAGGTCAATCCAGTCCATACCACCCCATCCCAGCTCTCTAAGATCCATTTTAATATTATCCTCCCACCTATGTTTATATCTTCCTAGTGGTATCTTTCCTAATGGCTTTCCCAGCAATATCTTATATGCATTCCTCTTTGCCTCCATTCATTCTACATATTCTGCCCATCTCATCCTCTGTGGCTTTATCATGCTAATTGAATTGAATTGAATTTATTTACCTTCCGTAAATCCAGTACAGGTGAGACACCATAGGATATGGAACAAGTCAAGTTAGAATACATAGTATCTATACAATAATACAGTAATATTGCAATTAAATGAGGTAAACTTATAATACTTATAATACACATTAAACAATGATCAAGAAATTTATCAAGATTTATCATGGACTAAAATAAAATAAAATTTCCATTAAGACGTTCATTCATTACTCATTCCATTAATCAAGTGCGTCAAATTAAAATGCATATAAAAGAGACACTTATCATACAAAATTCACTTATTAAAACAATCAAAAACAGTAGATTAGTCATATAATATAAAATAAGCATAAAAATAGTTGACAACTTCAGGTGCAACTTAGTCAATATTATACTTGGAGAAGAGTGTAAGTTATGAAGCTCCTCATTATGCAGTTTTCTTCAACGTCCTATCACTTCAGCTTATGAAATTCACACAGAACGAACTTTGTTGAGCTTCTCACACATAATTGCAGGATAGACAAATGTCCTGTGTGCAGACAAAATTGAGTTAAGCTGGATGTAGCCTGATTTAGTATGAATAAAGCCTTCATGACAGTACTCACGAGTTCAGAAGAAAGAACCCAGCAGTAGATAAAAGTGATGATAAGAAGGATAGCTTTTACCAGCAGCTCATCTCTGGGATTTATATATATTTAAGGGCCTCGCGTAGGGTACAAGAAAAAAAGATGTGATGTCATCAGAATCAGGTCGCTGCTAGTCAGTGACTCTGTAAATAGTGGCTGCTGCTAGGTAACACTCACACCACACTTGCACACAACAAAGAAGAACGGTGTTTTCTATGTAGTCCATGCCATGACTGATGCTATGCAGCGTTGCCGTAAATGTGCCTCTACGACAACAGAGGGGCTGTGTTTTCTATGTGGTCTGTGCCATGAGTTATCTTGAAGACATTCAGTGTTGCAGTTCAGTTGAGAGTTCAGGTGTGGAGTGTTAATCAGCAGGTAACAACATGACCATGGAAGCTGAAGAATCTCCATTGTTAAGAGTCGTTACCAGGAAACGTCTAGTGAAAACTTTGCAGAGGAATGACCGTTGTTGATAACTGTTACCAAGCAACGACTAGTGACAGACTGAGAAGACTTAGCATGGAGTGATTTGTAGTGTGGAAATCAGCAGTAGTGTTATAATTACTTGCAGTACCAAGTGATGAGTATAAGTGGTCAGTAAATACAGACATGAACCCATATCCCATCTATAGTTACTCTAAATCATGGCACCATTAATCCCCTTATAAACTCCCACATTTTCTCTGCATACTTGAGATGTTTGATTTTTGTGTGATTTCTACATTTCCTGTATCAGAAATGTATATAACAAGTGTTTATTATGTGTTATAATTACTTGCAGTACCAAGTGATGAGTATAAGTGGTCAGTAAATACAGACATGAACCCATATCCCATCTATAGTTACTCTAAATCATGGCACCATTAATCCCCTTATAAACTCCCACATTTTCTCTGCATACTTGAGATGTTTGATTTTTGTGTGATTTCTACATTTCCTGTATCAGAAATGTATATAACAAGTGTTTATTATGTGTTATAATTACTTGCAGTACCAAGTGATGAGTATAAGTGGTCAGTAAATACAGACATGAACCCATATCCCATCTATAGTTACTCTAAATCATGGCACCATTAATCCCCTTATAAACTCCCACATTTTCTCTGCATACTTGAGATGTTTGATTTTTGTGTGATTTCTACATTTCCTGTATCAGAAATGTATATAACAAGTGTTTATTATGTGTTATAATTACTTGCAGTACCAAGTGATGAGTATAAGTGGTCAGTAAATACAGACATGAACCCATATCCCATCTATAGTTACTCTAAATCATGGCACCATTAATCCCCTTATAAACTCCCACATTTTCTCTGCATACTTGAGATGTTTGATTTTTGTGTGATTTCTACATTTCCTGTATCAGAAATGTATATAACAAGTGTTTATTATGTGTTATAATTACTTGCAGTACCAAGTGATGAGTATAAGTGGTCAGTAAATACAGACATGAACCCATATCCCATCTATAGTTACTCTAAATCATGGCACCATTAATCCCCTTATAAACTCCCACATTTTCTCTGCATACTTGAGATGTTTGATTTTTGTGTGATTTCTACATTTCCTGTATCAGAAATGTATATAACAAGTGTTTATTATGTGTCAACTTTTCAGACTGTTTTTAATTTTCATTACAATGGATTTGTGTTGTATATAATCATGCTATGAATTCATTTAGTGCTAAATTTCTGCAGTTGGTGTAGAATTGTAAATAACTTAAAAAAGAATCAGATTCAAAGATTACCATCAGGAAAACTTAGGACCCTACATTGTACAGCACAGATAAAAAGCATCTCAAACATTTGACCAGATACCATTTTGACTCCCCACTAAATTGACAGTGATGTGGGAGACCTGTTCCTTTTAGAGTATGGACTCTATACTTAAATGCAAATATTAATTTGGAAACAGAAAGGAAACAGGTTGAATTGCACATTTACTGTAGTGAAATATAAATTCCTGAAACCACATGTGTTGCTTTGATAGTTGAAATAATGTTGAGGCATGGGCTATTGTTGAAATAAGATTGAGTACACAAAGTCAGATTTAATCACTTACAACAAAATGTTTGTTTTTGTAAATATTAATCTGCTGTATTGAGATTTGAGGTTTGTGTGGTGGTGGTGTTTCATGTTATGGCCTTGTGAGGCATGACACTGTGTGGTATGGAAATGAGGCAGAATGTTGCTGTGAGGTGGTGGTAATCATATAACAGACTTATATAGTGCTGTGACTGAGAAGACCACAATATGACTTAACTCTGTCAGTTTGTAAGATTAACAATTTTAAATCTTTACTAAGACTGAAATTAATAGGTCCTGTTCCGCTATGCGCTGGCAGTACTGAAACTGAACGAAGCTGAAGTGATGAAACAGACCGATTATGTGAGCATCCTCATGACTCTGAAAAATCGTGTGGAGAACACTGTAGATTTTGATGGAGTGAGTCAAGTAAGTTTTGCTAATGGACACTGACATATGCATGCAATTTTTGCATATCCAAATGCTGAGTTGTACTGAAGTATCATAAGGAGCTGGGGTAATGCAGTCAGTGTAGTGATTGGCTACAGGCTGGACAATGGAAGGGTTGGAGTCAAGAATTTTCTCCTCGCCATGTTGCCTAGACCGGTTCTCGGGCCCACCCAGCCTCCTATCCAATGATGGGCACAGGCAGCTCTTTCCCCGGGTGTAAAACTGTCCATTCACCTCCATCTAGTGCCGAGGTAACGGAAAGGTGGATCTATACATCCACTCTCCCATATGCCTTCATGGCATAAGTGTTAATACGAATTAAGTACATGACACCTTACATTTTTTTTTTTAACTAAAGTGTGATACATATTCCAACTATAGATGATATTCGGAAAGTAAAGATACAAGTCCAGTAAAATTGCAAAGAAATTCTTTTTTCCCCCCAGAAATGGCTATGCTGCCGTGTAAAATAGAAACTGTGACAGAGCAGAGTTCACCGGCCACAGTCACGGCAACGTTTGTGCTCACAGTGTGTGTTTAAAATGGCCGTGTCGATTCTAAATCCCGCCAAATGTGAGGAGAAACTGCTACTCAAATTCATCGCCAGCTTGTTTCTGTTTATGGTGAAGATGTTATGAACAGGCAAAATGTGGCAGAATGGTGTGAATTTGAAGCAGGAAGAAGTGATGTTCATGATGGAAAGCCATCCATTATCACTGATGAAACCATCCAAAAAATTAGTGGAAACATTTGTGCTGGCAGACGTTTAACCATCAATGAATTTCATCAGCAATATTGGATGATGATGTGGTTCAAGACACGGTGGTGACATGGCTAAGAGTGCAGGTGGGAGATTTCTATGATGCTGGAATAAAAAAAATTCGTTACCAGGCTCCTGAAGTGCATTGCAGTCCATGGCGACTATGTTGAAAAGTAAATATGGTGGGTGTGTTGTAAAAGTGCTACAAGTGAATAAAAAAAAACTTTACAAATAATTTCTGGACTTTGTATCTTTACTTTCCGAATTACCTCGTAGTGCATACGCTATATTAGTTTGAGCTGTAAGCGAAGATGTGTGGAATGAGAGGTAGGAGTTGGAAGGGAGAGACACATCATTAGAATAATTTAATATTTCCATTGCTTGGTTAGTAGTTGTCTCATACAGAAGCACTTCTGAACTGTGTTCAGGAGGTGATCAGTTCAGATCACAGCCAGGACATCAGCTATCCTGGCAAGGTTTTTTTATTGTTTTCCTCAGTCCCTCCAACCAAACATCAGGATGGTAGGCCTGTTTCAAATTAGGCCTTGACTGCTTCCTTCCAAATCCTTTTCAGTTCATTATTCGCTACTCATTGTACCATTTTACATTGTAGTATACTCTGAGTTGCTGACAGCATCATTGAAGAAACCGCAAATAAATAAACCCAGCCACTTGTCTGTTAAAACTGAGCAATCACTTCTATTGCCACTACTTCCAAAATCAATTCCTGGCCTAGTTTGTCCCTGTAATAAATGAACATTTTTATTGTTATAAAAAGATAGGAATGAAATTATTTTTAACATATGGATTGCAAGAATTTGTATATTTTATAACTGTCATTCCAGGTGGCATTCCAGGATCTTAACCCTTTCCCCATGAAAATTATCTCCCAGAAGAGGGAGTATCATCGGAAAAACCTGAAGGTATAACAGAAAATGAAAAGCAAATATGCATTAAGGTAAACGCGTGTAAATGTGACTGAATGAGAAGAGAGAGAGACTAGTCACTTGACCAAATAGGCACCCACACAGATGCTTATGGGAGGAGAATGCTAATATGCCATGGAGAAATATTTCAGTGATGTTGGTGGGAATGAAGAACGTCATGCCATTAGTCTGCTGCCACTCCCTGCGCCACATGCACGATATGTCAGCAGGAGGGTCTAAGAGCATCATGCTGATGACCAATTTGATGATTTAGAATATGAGTACTATAAAACGTAATGCAGTGTCCATGATTTCTGTGGAGTGAAGCCTTGAATTTGTTGTTGCACTATAATTGCTCCTTTCCATGACATTTTGTTGCTACCTGTTAGATAATTCTGAAGTTACTGAAAGATCAGCAGGAGATTAAACAGTAATGTTGTTCCAGTGTTTTAAATTGGTAGTTTCAGACTTCCAAGGAATAAACTAGATGTTTTAGGATGTTTTAGTAGTCTAGTAGCAGTTTAGTGACATTTCAGAGATTTCAGAGGAACATATGTCCTCCAATCAGGCAAGCAAGGAGAACAATAGCATTACTTTTTTTGACGGCCCTCATATCTACAACTCATATATGAGAGTGGAGAAAGTCCCTTGTTTGAATTAAATATTTGATGTACTTATTCCATGAGTGTGTTTTCAAGCCCTTATTCTGATGGAGTGTAGTCTTCTTTCACATTTGCTCTAAAGTACTTAAAGGTAGTTTATGAATTATATGGAAGTTTCTATTATGAAAATGCTTTCTTTGAATTGATAATTGTAATCATGGAAGGCATTGTTATATTTGCCTATATATACGAAGGGGGACCCAAAAGTAACCGGAAACGACCTGTTGCGCGCGCATGCTTTGTAGTTACGAGTTGTGCTGCTAGGTGGTGTTAGCTGGGGGTCTCCTGCGACTATTAGTGAGCTGGCGTCAGTCTGAGTTAAGTGGTTTGTCTGTGGTGCTGTGTTGTGTGCGTTCCTGTTTCAACCCTTTGGCGATTAGTGAGATGGCCGACCAGAAGGAACAAAGAGTGTGCGTGAAATTTTGCTTTTTGTTAGGGAAAACTGAACTTCACTCTTCAAGTCGTGGCAAACATTCACGCGGTTTTCTCTTTGGTCATCTCCGAGCAAGCGAGGAACAAATTTTGCAGACACCCGTCTCATGTGCAAACCTTCGGTTAAAATTCGCTGGACCGTGCTCCATGAGATGTTCGTTTCCTCAGAAAGTTTGTCAGTGGTCTTTCGACGATCTTCATCAATTTCACGCACACTCTTTGTTCCTTCTGGTCGGCCATCTCACTAATCGCCAAAGGGTTGAAACAGGAACGCACACAACAGAGCACCACAGACAAACCACTTAACTCAGACTGACGCCAGCTCACTAACAGTCGCGGGAGACCCCGAGCTAACACCACGTAGCAGCACAACTCGTAACTACAAAGCATGCGCGCGAAACAGGTCGTTTCCGGTTATTTTTGGGTCCCCCCTCGTATGTATAACACTTTATATTCAAAAGATCCATTCTGGAAATAAATATGTGATATATACTTGGATTGAAGCATTATGATGTAAACTACTCCGTTGAAAAAGGCGAGTAAAATATTGAGACGTCTTTTTTGAACACCAAACGCATATTAATAAAAGAACACACCTTATTTTCAGTACACTATAATACAAGACTTGTATTATAAATGTATACAGGAATATGCAACAGCAATTATGGAGAGTTCACACAGTGAAATATATTCCTACGTATACAAGGGAATTTACGACCAGCAGTTTAAAATTAAAAGAAATAGTCACGAAGACAGCCGGAAATATGCATAACGACGCAACTTGCTCTGCTACAAACATCACATAATTACATGTTACAGATTGTTTATATTTCAGAAACATGTTTCTTAGAATACAGTGGAGTGAAATCTTGCAAATTATACTTGTCTTCACATTGGTTTATGTACTGCTGTAATGCATTACGGTATATCATTTTTGTTTTTTTGCAGATTTTTATTAAACATGATTTAAATTGGAAATTTTTGTGAAAACATGTAAAGTAGTTAGACACACACCCACACATATGTTTACAATTTTATCACATAAAATTTTATAAATCTGATAGAAGTTTGAATTTTTCCAGATAGAATCTGAGAAGTTGGAGTCTGTGCGGCGAGAGTACCGGCAGAAAATGGTGGGAGAATCTCCAGATAGTAATGGGAGTAAAACGAGGTTTTTTAACTAATTTTCTGTGTACAATTGCAAGATTATGGCAAGTCCCAGTGATATTTTGAACAGTGGTAAGGCATGGAGGAGCATTTTAGTGTATCTTTGGATGAATTCTGTGTCTTCATCACGTCTTCTCTATGGGCACTGGAACTTTGCCCATTGTCCAATATTCAGAACGGTACACAGTATTTCAGAAACTGGATCTGTTTCTGTCCTCAGGTGAAAAGATGGGAAGGCGCTTACTCTGTTGAGTCCATTAGAAAGCTATTATCCCAGTTGCTGGATAAATCTATTGGACAAGCCCAAAAACCAGCAATATTATGTGTAATTGTACAGTGCGTACAATCAAGTGCGCGCCGTGGCTGCAATTTGCCGTGAGTCATACCACCGCAGAACGGATGCAGTCGCAGGGAGTGTTGCAACTCCTCCCCGCGACTGCATCCGTTCTGCGGTGGTATGACTCACGGCAAATTGCAGCCGCGGCGCGCACTTGATTGTACGCACTGTACAATTACACATAATATTGCTGGTTTTTGGGCTTGTCCAATAGATTTATCCAGCAACTGGGATAATAGCTTTCTAATGGACTCAACAGAGTAAGCGCCTTCCCATCTTTTCACCTGAGGACAGAAACAGATCCAGTTTCTGAAATACTGTGTACCGTTCTGAATATTGGACAATGGGCAAAGTTCCAGTGCCCATAGAGAAGACGTGATGAAGACACAGAATTCATCCAAAGATACACTAAAATGCTCCTCCATGCCTTACCACTGTTCAAAATATCACTGGGACTTGCCATAATCTTGCAATTGTACACAGAAAATTAGTTAAAAAACCTCGTTTTACTCCCATTACTATCTGGAGATTCTCCCACCATTTTCTGCCGGTACTCTCGCCGCACAGACTCCAACTTCTCAGATTCTATCTGGAAAAATTCAAACTTCTATCAGATTTATAAAATTTTATGTGATAAAATTGTAAACATATGTGTGGGTGTGTGTCTAACTACTTTACATGTTTTCACAAAAATTTCCAATTTAAATCATGTTTAATAAAAATCTGCAAAAAAACAAAAATGATATACCGTAATGCATTACAGCAGTACATAAACCAATGTGAAGACAAGTATAATTTGCAAGATTTCACTCCACTGTATTCTAAGAAACATGTTTCTGAAATANGGGATTGAAGGTTTGTGCTTAAAATTTGAATAAATAAGTTTAAAAAAAATATGTTCGGTTTCTTTGGGTTTACCCCCTCGTATATATAAATCCTGAGGCTTGCTCAGATGTATTTATTTTGTTCAAAACATTGTAGAAGCCTAGTAGTAGTGGAATGAAATGAGAGACGTACATTTTCTTCACGTGGCATTGCATCTCAACATGTCCACAAGCAAATTTCTGTTATTGATAGCATAAATTTAGCAAAGTCATGATTTAATGTGTATATTATGGTAATAGTAATTAACTGGTAATTATGAATGATTATATATTAATCCCATTGATGTTTTATGTAATCCTATTTAATTTAATTTAACTTAATCCGTTCCTGTTATACCCTCTGGTGTTGAGGTTGTTTTTTTCTTTTTGGTCATTTTACAGACCGTAGGACTTCTTGGACAGGTGATTGGCTCATCGCAAGGCCTCTACCTAAACACAGGACAACACACAAACACAGAATAGACATGTATGCATACCAAACATCCATGCCTTGTGTGGGATTCATACCCATGATCCCAGCTTCCAAGCGAGTGAATACAGTAAATGCCTCAGACTGCTTGGCTACTGTGACCAGCTCTATATAGTCACTGGTTATCATTACCACAGTAACCACATTTACTTCTACCATTTGAAGGTTCTGCCCATGTGTCGCATTCTGAATATTAATATAGGGCATTGATAAAGAATGCCTGTTTTATAAGAATCAGTCGTTCAAAAACTGTTATGCTTATAAAAATGAGTCAAGTTTTAAGATGCGGTAAAAAGACACAAGTCTTGGATATGCGCGGTTGATGATGGAAGCTAGCGAGGTTGAAATGCTTTTGTCATTTGACCAGTTGATATAACTTGTGCGCAAGGCCAACCATCAGACTTCCTGAGCCCCACTAATTTTACCTTCCAGTGCGAGTCAGTGTCAGGCGAGATGTGGACCATGCAACACAAGGCTGAATTTGTTTTATGGTATACAGAATTAAAATCAGTCATGACAGTGCAATGAAAGTGGCAAAGGTTACATCCAGGAGAAAAAGCACCAGATGATAAGACTGAATCGTTGATTTAAACAGTTGAAAGAAATAGGGAGTGTTGCGAAACAGAAATTTTCATGTCGGCCAGAAACATCAGAGAGAATTGAAACATACTGAGGTAAGACAAGAACTTCGGAGATTTGTTAGCAGTTTAATGCTTGAATCATATCAATATGTATAGTAGTTTTTGAATGATAGTTTTTTATAATCCTGGCATTCATTTTTAAAACTCTGTATAATGGAAGAATGCCAAATATGTGTGAAAGGTATCTGTCTGTGTTCATTTTGTACCTGCTGTATCCTTCTGCTGCTGACTGTTACAGTTGGTCGAGTTGGGAGTGAGAGAAATGTATTTTTGTTACTTAGTGACGAACCAGATGTGTGTCACTGTTGCCCTTGTAATCAGTACAGCAAATGGTGACCTACTTATGCATTACTATGACAATATCTGTTTGGAACTCATTTTCTGATGTAATATTTTCTAGTACATTATATTCAACAGAAGCCATGGATTTGTCAGCTGTTAAACCTCACCTGTGAAGATGATGGGGACTGCTGTAAGGTCTTCTTATCACATAGGCCTCTTATAAACTGCACTTCCATAAAGNTTGCTGTAATACTCAGATGACCAAACACTTCATTAAGGTTTAATTAGTTAAATTTATTGAACTTTTGCATTAATATCAATATATAAATTAATGTCTAAATTATTACATTATCAAAATTCTATTTTTTGTGTAGACAAGTTTCATTTATGAAGAAAGCAGTCTTCTGGGATGTGGCACCGTGTATATGTGGTGTTAACCACGTTTTGGAGGAACGTATCGCCTACATCTTCAGGGTAAAAGGAAAAATAAGAAGATGGAGGCGATACGTTCCTCCAAAACGTCGGTTAACACATCTACACGGTGCCACATCCCAGAAGACTGCTTTCTTCATAAATGAAACTTGTCTACACAAAAAATAGAATTTTGATAATGTAATAATTTAGACATTAATTTATATATTGATATTAATGCAAAAGTTCAATAAATTTAACTAATTAAACCTTAATGAAGTGTTTGGTCATCTGAGTATTACAGCAAAGGATCTAAAGTTTTCTTCTGTAAGTAAATCACCATAAACCGGCCTGGACACTCCAGGCAGTGGGTGTGCTGTGGTGAATCTGGGAGCTTCATGAGTTGAGGAAGGCTACACTCACCAAATGCAGTGGTCATGATTTACATACCCATTACTGCTAACAACTTTTAACTACCTCTTGGGAACTGCGGGCCTATTGAGGAACTGTGATATGTCTCACTGAACTCTGTGGCTTACTGCCTGCAGAGGACCTACGTTGTACGCACATTTTTGGTTCCCAGAGTGAGTCGTGATCTTTTTCTGAAGTGTTGTGCTGGGATTCAGGTGTGAAGATAAAATCTCAGAATTTTAGAGAATATATTATCGTACGTAAGGTTTGAGGTTTTCACATCAGTGACTATGAAGAATGCCATCTTCTGGGATGTGGTGCCATGTAGGTCTTGTGTGAACAGACGTTTCAGAGGAGACAGTATGTTCATCTGAAACGACGGTTCACACAAGATAAATTCGACCCACATTCCTTGTTTTGGCAAAGGATGTGTGGAAGAAATTGTGTTTGATCATATATAACCCCTGCAACTGATGGAACATTGTTAAATATGCCACAGATTAATAATATGTTCTTAAATTAATGGACTGCTGCATGAGGGTTAAGTTCTCATAATGGTGAATGTGAAGATTATGTTCTTCAGGGATGTTATGACATGCAGTTTGGTGTATAAATGCTAACATTTTGGAGAATCCGACTGCCTCGGTGTTCAGGAGCCTGGATGAGGGCTGCAAGTTCTTCTGAAACACTGTACCCTCTCTAGCAGACAGCACATGCTGCATACCAGATGTCCATAATTGTTACTGATCATGTTTATGAAGTCACACTCAGGTGAGCAACTGCCAGCTTATGAAGAAGGGCTCTGCTCAGTGATTAGTTTAGTATTTTTATGTCAAATTCACCAGTTTTACTCCAGTATCATCGTTTCGTTTCCTCCATGCTGTAATGTCATGACAGAGTTTATACAAGAACCTTTTGTCTTCTCGTCTGCTGTCCAAAAACATAAAAATTAGAATATACAAAACTATAATTTTGCCTGTGGTTCTGTATGGGTGTGAAACTTGGTTTCTGACATTAAGGGAGGAACATAGACTGAGGGTGTTTGAGAACAGGGTGTTAAGGAGAATATTTGGACCAAAGAGAGATGACGTGACAGGAGGCTGGAGGAAACTGCATAATGAGGAGCTTCATAACTTGTACACTTCTCCAAGTATAATTAGAATGATCAGGTCAAGGAGGATGAGGTGGGCAGGGCTTGTAACACGAATGGGGGAGACAAATGCGTATAGGATATTGGTGGGAAAGCCAGAAGGAAAGAGACCACAGGGAAGACCCAAGGCATTCATGGGTGGACAATATTAGAATGGATCTTAGATAGATAGGATGGGATGGATTGGATTGATCTGGCTCAGGATAGGGACCAGTGGAGGTCTCTTGTGAACACGGTAATGAACCTTTGGGTTCCATAAAATGCTGGGAAATTCTTGAGTAGCTGCAGAATTGGCGGCTTCTCCAGAAGGGCTCAGCTCCATGAGTAAGTAAGTAGGTGAAAGCTTAGTCTGTTCCACAGTCCTGTCATTTCTTTCTAAATGGAAGGCATTTTGTGCCCCTTTCCTTCATACAATGCACACCAAATGTCCCGCTGGGAACAATTCATAGCGTGAAAAAGAAACCACTTCTGTCTTGTTTCTGTATAGGTTTCTTAACTCATGTCCACCACTTCAGAAAACGCCTCCATCTTCATCATCCATTAGCCAATAAAACCTCACTGTATGTTGTCACCTTGAAAGCTTCAAGTCATATTCCTGCCCTTAATGTGAGTGTTCAAGTTCCAGCCCCCCCAAACACTGCAGTTTTGTATGTTTTAATTTTTTTGTTCTTTGAATGCATACAAGAAGATGAAAGATTCTGAAGTGAGTGGTAGTAAACAGTCCCTCAGTATAATCTGCTTCTAATTTTCTATGAATGCACGTTTGATTTGTTAGTGTCATTTACAAGGACTAACTTTGCCACATTTTCAAAAGATCTGTTTATCAGCTGTCTTTATGTTATGGTTTTGTACTGTATTCTGGTGATGACACATCTACATTACCCAAAATTTTCTACATTTATTTCTAGGTAAACTTCCTTATTCATGCGTAATACAGTTTCTGTGTTGTTCTTCGTGGTAATCATGTGTCCCAGTCAATATCAGTGTTCTCTGGTGTTCCTCAACCTTTCTAATAGCATATTGTAAAGCAGTGGTGATAAAGACCATCTGATAAAGACCATCCTTGTTTAAGACCCTTCTGAATAAGAATCATATGAGACAAACATTTACACATATGGCCTTTACTGTACATTTCATTTCAGTACATTTTAATTTGTTTCATGTGTATACCAAACTCAGCAAGAATATTTTACATCTGTATGTATAAATCCAAAGTTCTACAAAAGTTAATGAATTAAAAAATAAAATGTCATAATGAAGTCTTGTTATTGCTCAACAAGCTTACTGATATTATATACCCTGTTTCCTCTCTGATTTCCACTGGTCTCCAAAATTATATAAATTCTATTGAACTGCCAATTTATATGTCATTTCTTATTTGGTTCTGTGAACTAATAATTACAGTGAAATCCCTGTTTATTGAATCTCAGGGGGAATTGGTCTTCTTACACAAAATTACGATTTTCACTAAATGGGGTTTATGCAAAACTGCATCAAGAAATTCATATTCTTATGTGATTTACTGTATATAATTATGATAACTTCTTTATGTAGGTAATTAAATACACTGTTTCTATCCTAATACATATAATTACATAATCAAGAATATTATTTAAAAAATAACTAAATAATAAATACTGGAAGAGCCGCAGGATGCCACTAGTACCATAGCCACTTTGCATGTCCTGTTGAAGATTATAACATTTTCTATCAGAGATAAAACAAGTATATCAGTTATTTCACCATCAGCTTCACTAAATTATGTATGAGTTTTGGAATGTAAGTTTTTTACACAAAATGTGAGTTATTTTCTAAACCAAAATCCACCAAATACAGGGACAGTAATACATTACCTGGGACCAGAAAAATATTCACTAGAAACAGGATTTCAGTAAATGAGACAACACTAAATTGGGATTTCACTGTATATCGTGGCTCAGTACTGATTCAAAATAATGTATCAAAAGCACATCAACTGAATGTGTATATTCAGTGTAAGGTAGTGATTGCAGTACTCACTGCATGTGATGCCTTAAACATTAAAGTTTTCAAGAAAGCAGTGCTGATTTTTTCATTATATGTTCATTGATCCTCAAACAGAATATTTTACAAGGAAAACAAGTCAATGTTTGTTAGACTTGTAAGGAATATGTTTTCAGTTGTTGCTGGTGCATCTGTAAGAGAGACAAGGCAATTACAAAGTGTGGCAGAAAGCACAATCATGTAGAGTTTCAGGACTATGGACAGAGTGTTTCACCATGAACATGGCTGCACATCAATGCTATATTATGTCTATGAGGATTCATCATCATCAGATGGTGACATATAATTACATCATTATTAGAAAGTTACTAGGTTCTATTTACAGCATGCAGTGGGAGCTGCATTGCTGTTCCGGAGATCTCACTAAACAAGACTTGACTTTTCTTCCATAAAGCTGCCTACTCGAGGTAAGAAGTACCCTCAGACACATTTTAGATGTAGAGTATTGACAAATTGTTCCTTTAATTGTACCCTCTTATATTTGTGTTATTTGAAATGACTCTGTCAGTACTGAGACTGTATGGCATCAATGGTAGGATAATTGATTAACTTTATAAATTGTATCCTGTTGTGTGTGTGTGTGCTAAGAACTCCTATTATCTATATAATGTGAAAAAAATATATATATATTTAAATTTTGAATCTAAGAAATTTTAACTCCTATAATCTGTATATTGTGGAAGAAATATTTTTGTATTTAATGTTTTATATTTACATTTTAATTAATCCTATTTGTAATAAGCTGTAATGTAGACTTACTGTCACTCTACAAATTAGTATTTCCCTGCAACACCAGACACGAGTTGCACAATATGGATCCACATGGGAAAAATTAAGTTTAATAAGTTAAGTTACAGATCGTAGAAGGTGCCTGACAGTGGCCTAAATCATAGGTTGAAACATGTAGCATGAAATCCATGCTTATGTTAAATAGGTAAGATACATATCAACATCTGTTTTGTCTTCACCCAAAGGTATTCCCTTTATTGTTGTGTTGACAGTTGTAACCATAAGATAGGTTGGTAATGAATGTGGAACAGTTGGAGGAATGAAAATTTGCAGGGGAAACCAAATTATTTGGAGAAAACTTGCCTCAGTGCCACCTTGTCCAGCACAAATCCCACTTGACCTGACCTAGGACTGAACCTCTGCTGCCTCAGTGGGAATCCAGTGACTAACCACCTGAGGTATGGCACAGCCCTCCCTCTTGATTTTGTGTCACTTACCTCCATGCACTTCAGTGGTCCTCAGAAATTAAACTTTTAAAGCAAAAATGTGCAAAATAAATATGAAACTCTTAAAATTACATTGTAATTCGTGAATTCCATATTTACTTGAAAGTAATATGCACATATTTTAGTTTCTATAAAAATGAATGTGGCAAAGGAACTCAACCATAATTATTGTGAGATTTCGGTCCAATTATGGATTAAATTAATATTTTCTATTTGCAGGTACCATAGGTATACAGGTGTCCCAGAAATAAGTGCAGGAAATTGGATGGTGAATACCATGACCCAAAATAGTGAGAATTGTTGGTTCTGGAAGTGCTTCAGTAACAAACTCAGAGCTATTTGAAGGTGTTCTTGCAACAGTGGGATCAGAAATATGGTTACAAAAGTAGCTGGGCACAGTTTTGAAGGAAATTTGAGTTTAGAGTGGACATTGTGAATGACTGCTTGTCTTGTATCACTATCACCTTCCCCAGTAAACAACAAAACATACATACATTCCACATACATAAGTCATTCCACAGGCTGGAATCCTCATGATATTTTGTTTTGGGGACATTCAAAATGGCTGTACCTTGGTCCACAACATTAACTGTACCATGAAGTTTGCTGCTATGCAGTATTAGTATCAGTCAGTGGTTTGTTTTGAAATTATTCTCCCACAACACAAGCATTTTCTGAAGATGTCTCTGAGCTTCTACAGAAAACAAGTAGCAGCAGTATAGTGAGTAAGTGTTGAGACCACTTCAAAATAAAAGAAATAATTAGGAAAAATATGTTGCTCAGTGTTATCAGATTAAATTCTCTGTGACTAACAAAGCATATTTTATTTTATGCATCAAAGGCATTATGCTGAAATATTTCTGGACATTATCCATAATCCTGTTTTATGCAAAACTGGACAATGGATAATGTCCAGAAACATTGTATTGTATTAATGTACCATTGTCACAAACTATCAGATCTTAATGAAATATTTACATTGAAACTGCTGTGGTTCATGTTTTATTGCACCTGTTTCTGTCATACTATGGCAGATCCCTTACATAGTAGAGTTGGGTATTTTTTGCCTGCTCCCTCATCTGCACCTAGAGGGATCAGTTTATCGTTACGTTGTAGCAGGACATTTCATTGCTTTCTGTAAGTTCACTATCAGTCACTGCATCATAAACGTCCATCACATGACAGCTATAACAGAGCATCATGGTAAAATGGGTAACATTCCTGGCTTCATATCTCAGCCCAGAAACTGGCTATCCTAATTGAGGATTTTTATGGTTGTACTCACTCCCTCAAAGGAAATACCAGTAGAATACTTCAGATTAGGCCATGATCGCTTCATTCTCTGCCCTTTCCAATTTTGTTACTATCAATTATAGTATCCAATGCTGTATTGTCTGAGCTACTGACATCATTGTTGAATAAATTGTAAATGAATAAAATAATTATGCTGTGTTATATCAATCAATAGAAGAGACTGCCCATCACATTACATTATTCCAGTTTGGGCCTCAAATTGTTAGGTCAGTTCGTTTGGACAAGTTATGATTCAGGAATTGTCTGAATTTTGATTAGAACCTGGTGGCAGCAAAATATATGTTAGTATAAAAACATGATATATGGTTAATAAACATGTTTGTTCATCTAAATATGTACAAGAAGTCTTCCTCTGAATCACGGAATTCACAACAACCTTGGAATTTCAAGAACAGGATACAAAATTGTACTGTGACCATGAGCTCATTTTTGTTGGATTGAAGACAGCAGGTGTAACTACCGTTTTCAACTACTGTTCTCAAACAATAACTAGGACATAGCCTCAACACAAAACACATGTTCAGTGGTCTCAAGAATAAGGTAGCATAAAGTACTTACTCATTGGATACCACTCATCAGGTTTCCCAGCGTCTTGGCGAGCTGCAGACAGCGCATTTCTCAGAGCAAACAAAATGACACAACTCATGCATAATGGAGGCTCACCAGTGGCTGTAAGAGAAGTCAGGACATCCTGAATCAGGTGCATGCCCATATTGGGATGGATTTCATAAACCCTCCATTTTCAGGGTATGTACTTAAAACTACATAGTGTGATGTGACAGAAGACCATAATTTTGAAGGGTCCCAGCAAGAAATACTGCGGATTGACTTCCCTTCATATGTCCCTCAAACTGTTTTGCTTTGCCCTTCATTGGATGGCATTACAAGATGGGCCATGACTGTGGTGCCTCATACTTTTTGGCACATTATTCCCTTTCGTGTTTCCTTGACATTATTTGCAAAATATTACAGAGTGCTGTAGATAGCTGATCATTAAATGGAAAATATATATATAGGAGAAACTAAAATGATTAAATCAGAAAGTGTGTATGTAGAAGGATGTGAATATTACCTTTTGAGCGCAGTACTCCAAATGGGTTAGGTGCCTTTTTCCTTAAGTAAATGCGGAAATCTATAGGGATGTCTTTCACACCTGGAGGCTTGTAGTTCTGTAATTCAGTCAATAATTCTAGTATAAAACACACCTCAATTATATTCCTCATTTAATGCTTTCACTTTTTACCTTAATTTACATGGAATTATTGGATCCATCACTAAAGACAATTATGTACGTGTGTATGTGAGACAAGAGGGGGGAGGGATTCTAGACACATGTCCAAATCAAATTGTATGCTTTGGCATGATTGGAAAGTGACAAGGCTTGTGATTCTGAAATATGCAAGTTGCTATCACTAGTACTGCTAGTGGCACATTCACAGGAGACAGAGCTATAACCTGAACTCAGTGCCACAAACAAATAACACATGCTGACAGAATTAACATGGCAGGTCACATAGAAATAATGTTTGTGTGTGAACTCTTCTTAGCAGCTGTAACTAGTAGAGGGCTGTAGCCATGATGCTGATCTGTTAAAATGGTGCAGGAAGTGCTGAAATTTTTCCGTAGATGAAGATGCAAAGCAGAATGATTACCTAAATGCAGCTATGATTGACATTAGTATTGCAGGTTGATATTGCCAGACAGCACCTTTTGTGCAATTTCTTCCTTGGTTTGATCTCCTGTATGTAGCAATACTTGACAATATTCGTTATGAATGCTTGATACCACATGCTTTAAAACAGTAAATAAAAGTGAATGTATTGTTTGTGATCTTTCCAGATTTCAGTGGTATGCTGCAAAGGGGATACGTTTTGCAAAACATTATTACTGACAACAAAATGTGTATCTACCATTTCAAGCTAGTTTTTCTTTTTGCACAAAATGTTTTGCAACTTCTTGTTGTTTTCTGCTATACCATAACCAATTTTATTTAATCAGTTATGGTTCTAAATACAGTCAGACCATCTTAAAACAGTTTAACTGTATGTCCAATTTATAGTCTGTGTTATGACTGGAGAGCCAGAACTGACAGCCACAGCTGTATCATCTTCCTCATTCAGTGAACACACTAGATGCTTTCTGATATTTGTATTTTATTCTCTTATTCATATACAAATCATTGAAAGAGCATGGGCAGTAAGCAAATTAAAGCAGTATTCATCATCATCATCAGTAATCTGTCAAGACGACAGGTCCACAGTCTCTTTCAAAACAATTCCTCCACTTAATGCGATCTAGAGCTTTCTCCTTCAAATGACAGTATCCTCTTCTGTCCCCAAGGTCATCCAGCATCTTCTTACGTCTTCTTCCTCGTCTTCTTGTCACTTCTATCCGCCCATCTATCTTTCCTTCGATAGCTTCTTTTAGAAGGCAGTTTCTGCGTAAAACANTCTCCAAGTACATCCTCTATTTTCCTTTCAATTCTTCTTTTAAGTATCTTTGCTATTATCTTTGCTGTATGTGCAATAAGACTTATTGTGCGATGGTCGCTGCATTTTGTAGCTTTTGTCTTTTTCTTTAAGGCAATCATTGTAACTTCTGTAAAGTCCTTGGGCCACTCTCCACTTTCATATATGGTGTTCATTAGTTTTGTCAGTGTTTTCAAACCACCTTCTCCCAGTAACTTGAGCACATCTCCAGGTACATCATCATCTCCTGTAGCCTTTCCCTTCCTCATTTCCTTGATAGCTTTTTCTACCTCACTTTGTAAAATATATTTACACTGTAACAAAACGTTGTGATGCCGAAACAAAGCACTTGATAAATTTTAGCTCTCTTATCGAGCGCACATGAAGTGCTGGGCTATGGACTTGACACCCGGGATTCAATTCCGGTTAAGGAAGTGAGATTTCTCTATTCCCCAGTGTTCAGACCAGCTCTGGGGCCTACACAGTGGGTACAGGGGGCTCTTTCTCTGGGTAAAGCAGTAATGGCATGGAACTGACCACTCATCTCCATCACAGGCCAAGGTCAAGGACAGTGGAGCCTGGTACATTTTGCAGATAAAGACGAAAATTTTCACCTTTTTTTTTTTTTACCAGAAATCTGGAATATAGCTGCAGTATGTTTTGACATATAAAAGGCACTGTTCTTGCTGTAAATCACATAATCTTATCAGGAGCCAGGATAGTGCAGTCAGTATAACAACTGGCTACAGCCTGGACGGCCAGTGGTTGGAGTTCAAGCCCCAGTAGGGTCAAGAATTTTCTCTTAGTTAAGCACAGAAACAACTTTACCTTCACCACATCATCTAAACCGGCTCTGGGGCCCACCCAGCCTCGTATGCAATGAGTACTGGGGGCTCTTTCCCCAGGAGTAAAGCAGCTGTGGCATGAGGCTGACCACTCACCGTGAACTAGTGCTGAGTTTAGGAAAACATGGATCTATACATCCTTTTCCCCATACATCTTCGTGGTGTAGTGCTTAATTAGCTAAGCACAGAGACAACTTTACTTTTTTTACCTTACATAATTTTATCTGGTCTTCTCATGCTGCAAAAGCAAAGTTTCTCAGTCCAACAATCTGAGAATTGTAAACCATGTTTGATGCATGGACAAAGTCATTCAGAAATGCCCACTTGGCATAGTTAGAAATTGCCAAAATAGTTCAGTAATGCTTCTAGAAGCTCAAGAATACTTCAACAGGCCACATTTTGTCCTTCGGTGCATTAGAAAAATCTTTCTTATAAAAATATAGTTACCATTCAATTTGATCACTTCAACATATCTTCAGTAGTCTTAAATGTTTATCTTCTTCCATTTCCACGATTTATAACAGTAAACAGTTAAATGCAGAAAATGGTGAATGAGTTCAGTGGAATGGTTTTAGTAATTTCGTTCAGTGGATACTTTGAATATTCCTCATTGTTGTCTGCATTGCGTTTACAAAATACAAGTGACATTACACTTGCAGCAATTGTTTAAATAATCATTGAAGAATACATTTCAGATCCAACTTTCAGCTGTGCTGACAAACACAATTAGAAGAGAAAGCATCTTACCCATGTTCGGTTTGTCAGGAGCTGTCCTGTTTCTGGGTCGAATGTGAGATATTCCATGAGCCAGTATCCTAACCCCATAACAAAGGCACCCTCAACTTGACCAATATCAACTTCTGGACTAAGACTCTCACCAGCATCTTCAAGAATATCCACACGCAGAATCTGAGAGAAAACAATTGACTGAATTAAATTACGTAGGCAACAGAGTGTTATCCTCTGCTACCAAGATGGATTGGGCTCTCCGGCCTGTGCCCATTCAGCATTCATTATTTCCGAAATTTCAGCCTTATAGACAGTCAGTAGGACCCCTTGGTTGGGTGATCAGCCTGTTGCCAGGCCACTACCTACACAAGACAACACAAATACAAAAAAAATTCAGATAGATATCCATGCCTCGAGTGCAATTCAAACCCATGATCCCAGTGTCTGAGTGGGCAAAGATGCAAAATGTTATCAGTCCTATTAACTCCAATATCTTTGTGTAAAAACAGATCATAGAATTAGGTCCTCCTTTTTTTTGATAATTCTGTGGATATCCCATATAGAAAAATTTCCATATTTTGGTATTGGCTTGAAAAATTGTGAAGGGGAAATTGCTGCTTTTTTTTTTTTGCCATTAAAGGATATTCATTACAATGCTAAGCACAATTTTTCCCCAGGACTTAATACTGTAATAATAAAACATAAAGGTAAAGTTTCCCCTGAGCTTAGCTAATTAAGCACTATGCCATGAAGTAATATGGGGGAGTGGATGTATAGACCTACATTTTCTTGACCTCTGCATGAGTTCAAGGTGAATGGTCAGCTTCATGACCCAGCTGCTTTACCTCAGGTAAAGAGCCCTTGGTACCCATTCAATAGGAGGCTGGGTGGGCCCCAGAGCCAGTCTGGATGAGATCAAGAAGTGAAAATTCTTGACCCCACCAGGACTCAAACTCTGACCATTCGGTCATCAAGCCTATAGCCAGTTGCTATACCGACTGCGCTATCCTGGCTATACTCTAATAATAATGCAACACTTAAACGAAGGAAGGACTTTGTGAAACCTGCCAAGTCTTGTAGCTACATTACTGGACCAAAAGCAATTAAGCAAATACTTAAAGTTTAAATAGGAATTTATATATAAACAACGTTAATAATGGCTATAGATTTCCTTTTAGTCATTGGTGATCCATCCTAAATAGGGTCATTGTCTCAGTTCTAATATCTGTATCTGTGTCCGTACGCATGCATGTGAATGTGTGAGAATTGTACTGTGATCAACATGTTGCAAAAAGAATAGTTGATTGGATATTGCAATTGTAATTTGTGTCTCATGAACTACTTTCTTCCAGTCTGTTCCAGCTTTCAATGTCTGTAGAGATGGTGTGTCAGCTCTAGCAAGATGAAGCAATTGCTTTCACTGTAGATGAATGATAGACAGTGGCATTTCATTTCACAGTCAACAGTACAAATCGTATGCACCTTGACATTTTACATAGCCAGGGTCTGATATGAATAGACTGGGTGGTCAGGCTTCAGTTTGCAATGTTTTTCTTCATCATTACATAGAACAACCTTGGGCTCCATACAGCAACCAGTAAACACCGGGAACAATTTCATAAAGTCGGATGGAACATGAAGCTGTCTTGGCCGCGCCATAGCTCAAGTGGTTAGTCGCTGGCTTCCCACTGTGGCAGCCCGGGTTCGATCCTGGGTCTGGTCAAGTGGGATTTGTGGTGGACAAAATGGCACTAGGGCGGGTTTTCTCCGAGTACTTAGGTTTCCCCTGCCAATCTTCATTCCACCAAATTCTCCATCATCATAATCACCCAGGGTGGTACAATAGACCAATCAGTGGCCACCGTGCCGAGTGGACCCAGCTGGACTCTCCCCCCCCCCCCAAGCAAATTAAAAAAAAAACATGAAGCTGTCTGCCCATAGTTGGGAATACTCAGAGTTTACTACCATGCCCCATGCATACCTTTGTGGCACAATGTTAAAGTACTTGGGCAACTTTAGAAAATTTGAGGAGGTATACAAATTGAGATAATGCAGGCTGGGGTTTCATAGCAGTGGGTACTCCAATTTTGGTCTTCTGTGTTGTAACACTATATAGTCATGTGGGAGGTTATCAGTGTTTTGGGAAAAGATTCTGCCTCCATCATCAGGACGTTGGATTGAGGATGTGAATGTTAGATAAGTGCCGCAAATCTGCTGCTGAAACATTAGTGTTACTAAATTAATTGGGAGGGGAGGAAAATTTAAAATATCTTGGCACTTGGCACTTTTCTGGAGTCCGTTGCTCATAACCCAACTGACTTACATTCTCCACCTGTCATTTCAAGATTCAGTGTCACCTTACATCAGCCACCCTGCTTATTCCATTTCTCTGGAAGAAATGTTTTGTGTGTTCACAGTTGTCTTCTGTAAGACTTCAGAATGTGAGTTCAGTATCTCTTGTACATCTGAAAGTGCAGAATGTGGCAATTCGTCGTTCACAGGAATTGAATATGACGTTCAGTCTTTTGGTAGTTTCTGGATAAGTTTCCACCCTTATTCCTAGTTTTCTGTTATTAATTACATGTATAAGCCTATACTTTAATTTATTAATTTGGATGTTAATCCTTCATAAAAGTTTCAACCACTGTATATTGCGATGTTTGCAAGGAACCATATCTGGAAAAATAAAAAGATATGTCTAGTTATAACTAAATTTTCTAATGAAAATAAAAAAAATCTGTGGTTGTATAGACTATAATACTGAAAATTAAAGTGAAAGCTGTATTGGAATATGTAAAAACTGTGAATTAATTAAACATCATTAAACATTTATGGCAGCCAGTCACGGTAGCCGAGCGTTCTAAGGCGTGCACTCTCTTCGCTCACCGAGAAGCCGGGATCGTTGGTTCGAATCCCACTCAGGGCATGGATGTTTAGTTTGTGTGTGTGCGTTTTCTGTGTTTGTGTGCAGGTAGAGGCCTTGCAACGAGCTGATCCCCCGCCCAAGGCGTCCTACCATATGTCTAAGATCTAGAAAAACTTAAATGAATGGAGAAATTCTTGGAGGTATGCCTAGGCCCACTGGGGCTGTAGTGCCGAGGAAAAAAAAACATTAATGACTTGGTTGTGAGTATAGTAGTCTGAAAAATATAACTGTGTTTGATGGAAAATGAGTATATCAATGAAATTTATATTTCCTTCTTCACTTTTATGTGTATTCATATTATACACTTTCATAGATAAAAGAATGAACACCTCACAATTTGACACATATAATACTGAGAAGTAACTATTTTAATATTAATTTGACTCTGAACTTCAAAGTTTATATATCAGTATCTGAAAACGGTGTGTTCCAGTTTACATCCCTCTTCCATTGAACTTCCCCATTATTCTGCTCACCTGATGCTGTCCAGTTAGTAAGTCCACCTCAACCTCTGCTATTGTTACTCCATAAATGTTGTATGGTTTCAAATCATCTTTTGGTGTAAACCTGAAGGTGAAAATGTTCATTATACTGTGAGGAACTGGAATACAATAACAGTTTACTCTATCTGTGAAATGTAGAACTGTTAAGCTTCAGTTTCAGACTTCTAACTTTCTGTTGTCTAAGAACAGAGCCAGAAGGTTGTGTGTTCAATTCCCAATGAGGTCACTGGATGTTTCAATTGCCTTAATCATTCTAGCCACACTATGGACCTGGGGTGAACTCAGCCTGTAACAGAAATCAGTACCAGGAATATTCCTGGGCGTAAAGGGTGGCTGGCACGTAAGGCTGACAGCCTCGCCACCCTCTGTTAGCCAGTTTTATAGAAAAGGTGGGAGCCTCGACATCTCACAACACTGTGGTCCTCCACAGCCTGTTACAGGGATAGTTTTACCTTTGAGAACAGAGAGTACTAAGTTACCAAGGTCTGAATGACTAGGACTCTTTAAAATATGCAGTATTCATGAAATCATTCCACTCATCCCTGCATAGAGCTCCAGTGGCTGGATGCAAGGGTGATTTCATTGGATTTAAAGTTTAAATATAAATTGTGTAATAAAAAGAGTAAAATTAATCTAAAAGGAAAGTGCATTCTAGAAGAGGAGAGAGATGTTTAAAAATGAAGAAATGAAAGTTAAATATAACAAAATTCACAGTTATAATAATTTCTTTGAAAATTTTGAATCTGTTCATACTCAAAGCCATCTTTGATCAAAAGAACATTTTTCACCCTAGCAGCTATTTAAGAGGATAGGCAGGTGAACCTATACATCTGCACTGAGAAGTTTCTGAAAGACATGATAGAAATAAAGACTGACAACCGTGTGACTTTATTACTTCAATATGTTCTGGTTGGCAAATTATTACATACAAATTAACAAGTATTCTTAAACTTACATGTGAGTGGCACACAAATCAATGTTTTGTTCATATGCAGCCTGTGTCCACTGCTGCCATGTTGGATTTTTCAGGCTCTGTTTTGCTGGTTCCATCCGTTTCAGAAGCTCCTTACAGCAAAGCATGGCAGCCTTGATAATAAAAATATATTTCTTGAATACATTTTTGAAGAGCAGAATGAAAAATTTACAAACAAGAGAAGTAAATGCATATTTGAGGGTGTAAGTGAGAACAAAGAGGAGCAAAAGTTGAAGGGATGGAGATGTGAGGGAGGGTATGTAAGAGAGTGAGTTTAAGAGTATAAGAACTCTATAAGCGTGTGAGAAGGACCTGGCAGAAAGAGCAGAGACTGCTATTAAGCCCTCATCATTCTTGTTTTGTGCCACTCGCGTGTTTTTTTTAATTCGCTTAGTGGAGGGTGGAATCCAACTGGGTCCACTCAGGACAGCGGCCACTGATTGGCCTAGTGTAGCCTGCCCTGGGTGATTATAATGATGGAGAATTTGGTGGACTGAAGATTGACAGGGAAACCGAAGTACTCGGAGAAAACCCACCCCAGCGCCACTTTGTCCACCACAAATCCCACTTGACCAGACCTGGGATTGAATCCTGCCCACTGTGGTGGGAAGCAGCGAGTAACCGCTTGAGCTATGGAGCGACCCTACCACTGATGTTCCATCTTGTTCCCATTATTTGACCTGTCCTGATTTTTCTTTTTCAAAATTATACTGTCATCCGTCATTTTTCTCTCCCATAATCCCTCTCACTCCCTTTTATATTCTTCTTTGCTTTCATTCATTTAGCATAGCTCTCACAAAGTTTTTCTCAGTCCTTCCAGGCCAGTGCAAGGATAATACCTTGATTAGAATATGGTTTATTTGCTTCCAGTTCAGCAGTCATCTGTACAGTCTAGATACCACATAGTGTATATACTGACAAATAGGATAAACCACAAAAGAAGGGAATCAAAATGGACTAAAAACACTCCATTCCTGTTTCTCATTTTGTAACATCCATAATCATCTTTCCATGTAGTAAGTAATGAATACATAGCTTTAATACACAATGTTCAGTTAAGGAGGAAACTTCGCAACACCGTTGACCGGGCCCAATATTCATCACAGATTGCTGCTGTAACTGTAACGGTGCACATTTATCAGTGCTAATGACACATTCTGCTATCAGTAGTTACAGTAGCAATCTGTGAAGAATGTTGGGCCAGGTCAGCGGTGTTGCGAAGTTTCCTCCTTAACTGAACGCATTGTACTTCGGTATAAACAAGCATTGACTGGTATACAGTCATTGTCCTGGGACATGTCTGGTCTTTTTGTGATTGGTTGACTTCTGCTTCAAGGACTAATACTAACAATTTCTATGCAAGTATTCAAAGATGTGTGAAAAACTTCATGAAATATGTGCTGAATATGCAATAAAAATTAATGAAAATGACCTACCTAATGTAATTCTGATAAAAGACTGGACTATTGACTTCACATAAAATTGTAGGTCAGTCTTAACTTACAGTGTTTAGCATTTAGCTCGATTTCCATACAGCTGTTGATTATAATTAGAATAATATGCACACTATGGATAATTAATATAATCAGTACCAGTAGTTGTACAGAACTTTTATCATCAATTCAGTCAATCTTTGAATTATAAGGGTAAATATCTGCACTCAACTAAAGATCATTATACTTTTCTTTAGTTCCATAAGTAAAGAATCAAGCATGAACAATACAAAATCAATGCAGTTGATCATTCCCTTGAACAGATATGCCAGTTCAGTTCTTACATATGCACAAGCGTCACTTGTCATGCTGCCCCCAGTGACCATGCCATTTGGAGCAGTTAAATTGTTGCTTGGTTTCACGCTCACAAGTTCCAAGGCAATGTTTAGAGTATAAGCCACTACTTGAGCTACCTGAAATCATACAATTCATACTCTAAGAGACACACATCACTCTCTAGATTCATATTTTTGTGTAACACGTCCATGTTATAAAAGTTGTAGAATTGCAATATTAAAAGAAAAGTAAAATATGAAAATAATTGTTACACTATGCTCACAACTTCTTCCTGAACATTATTTTGGATTAATATTACCATTCTCCAAGGGTTGGGGGTAGCTCTGTTTAGTGGTCAAGCAGGTTAGGTTGTGAGATTTGAGAGTTCCACAGTGGTGACTATAAGTCATGTGACACCGTATAGTCTGGTAGAATCTTACAGACATTTTGTGGAATGTTATGCCTCCATGTTCAGAGACGCATAAGCCTTGAAGGAAGCAACAAGCAAGAGTGAGCTGTGCAACCCCCCCCCATCAATGCAAATAAATTGCACTTACTTCCTCATGAACATTTGATGGATCAGAACCTTATACTGTTCTCAAACAAGTATTTAAAAAATCTATGTACTTTAAATATAAACAACATTTTGGTCCATGATAAGAATAAAATTTTTTAAATTAGATTTGTACAAAACTCTGCTTAAATTTGTAATACTACTGAATAACTTTTTTTAGTGCAAGAAAGGGAAACATTTGTTCTGTAATTATTTCCATCTACGATTTTGTTAATTGCAGAACCTCCCAATCCATGGCACACAATGTTGTATAAGGGGATAATACTGATCATGTGCTTTGGTATTAGAAATGTAACAGTATACTTCAAGGTTATAAGTTCTAGAGTTTAATAATATACTTTTATTTTTATATTAACTTATGCAAACAAAAGCTTGTTTATTTATAGAATTGATATTTTATGTCACAGCCCTTAGAAGATTTTTACTTCTTGAGAAATATAACAAACAGATTTATTTGTTACCATCCATGATAAAAAAATTAGCAGAATTTGCTGAAAACCATTAGAGCCATTTTGGAGAAAAATAATGTCCTGTGGTCTGCCAGGGTACCATTTTTCTAATCCTATTACGTTTAGGATATGTCGGCCTACAAAATATTATTTGAGCCCATTGCTACTGTAACTGAATAAAATTTAATAAAAATCTGTCAAGTTGTTTTGAAAAAAATTAACAGTTTGCATTTGTGCTATCATAGGATGTACCAATATTTTCCTGAAGTTACCACCTCTGCAATTTTATTTAGAGACATGTTCCCCATAATTACTGAAATTTAATCAAAATTGTTAGAGCCATTTTAGAGAATTTCACAATTTTATGTTTATGGGCCCCTGTGAAGGCCCTTTGGGGCTAGAATGTTCAGATTCAATGGCAACTGACCTATGATGGATGAACTCTGAATATGAATAAAATTTGTCAAACTATTAAGGTGCTAGTGAGGTACAGGCAGACATGCTGGCATACACATAGCATTCTAAAGCCCAATTTTTCATATTCAGGATCGCTATCCAATAAAACCTCAAGACTGACTTTTTAAAGAAACAATGCTCTTTTTTACTGTGTATATGAAAAAGTTACCTTGTAGGGTGAGATAAGAGACCAGAGTGAACCAGTACCTTACTTTTTGACACTGAGGATGGTGCCATTGTGTTCCTCTGAAACATCAGTAAACTTCACCAGACTACACAGAATACTCTTCAGGTTAGGGTTTTTTTCATCTAATGATAGAAATAGGAACAATTTATGAAGAGTAGTGGTTATAAAAATCTGGTATGGCAGACAAAGTTCAAAAGAATAGTTTAAACAGTATTGTATTGTTTAAACTAAGTGTACTGAGCATGTCTCAAGATATGTTAGGTACACATAAGTCTGAATACTAATGCATGCACTTTCTACATATACTGCAGTGCTGAAGGTAACAATTACTACTGTGCTTTGCTGTACATACTAAAATATCAGCTCACCTTGGTATTTATACCTTGACCCATTTCAATCCCACCATGAGTGACTGCTACAGTTCCATCTCTGGCATATATTGATACCAATACAGCAAAGTTGCCCCATACTGCGAATGTATAGGTCATTGGTACAACAGCAATGCCTTTCTTTCTCCAACGTTGTTCCTATAACACAGATAAACTTTGAAATAGCTTATGTTGCTTTACAGGCTACTCTGTTAATTCAGTTGAAATATTGTGACGGGTTGCTCAAAGCATTAAGCTGTGGAACCAGAAAATCCCATGTAGCACGGTCAACAACAGAACTAGCGAAGGTCTCAATAGACTGGACAACAGAGGAACTATTGAAGACATCTGCTAGGCAACAGATATAGAAATGGGAATTTACATTGGAGGCGCAAGAAGAGAACCCTTCAAGTAAGTGACCTCCATATGGTTCAGCTAGAACCTACCTCAGGGAGAGAATTGATCAAAAGAAGACAGAATACAGGAGGATAAAGAAACTACGTAGACTAGAGGCTAGTGCAAGATCCAGACAACACTGAGAGATTTGTTATCCAGGAGTCAAATGTGTGAACTGTTGTAATTAAGTGAAATTGTAATAGAGATGCCCAATATATCCAGTCAATCAAATGTAGAACTCACAATATCAGTCACATGTATCCTCCTACATGCGACAATATCTTATATGTGACAGTTTTAATTGCTAGTCCCATGAGATTTATAGGGGCAGGTAGAGTTATCAACTTGTAATGTTTCCATGTTGTAACAACTGTATGGAAAGTTATGAACTTGTAACGTTTCCATGTCATAGCAACTGTATGGAAAGTCAAGAAGTACTTCTCTTAACATGCGATTGTTATGACGTGCATAATTTTATTGTGAGTTGATTTGGTTTGACTTTTCAGTGATTCAAAAAGGACATATTAATAATGTGTGTATGTCTATCCATCCTCTGATTCAAATATGAACATCAATTTAAGACAAAATAATTCACAGATTTTCATGAAACAGTATGAACAGCATGCAGTTTGAAGTGACACCAGGTAATTAAATTATAGGTAAATATTGTGCATTGCAGGAAATTTTATCACTTAAGCTGTTTTGACTGTAGAAGTTGTGTGATCTGAGACACACATTGTGCTTGAACCCTGGGATATTGGGGTTAAATTCCACCCGAGGCGCAGACATATATCCACATTTCTCGGTTTTGTGTTGTTATGTATATATGTAGGTAAATACCTCTTCAAAGAAGAAGAAGACGGAGGGGTTGAAGGAATAGTAATATGGTGGTGGGGTAGTAGTAGTAGTAGTAGTAGTAGTAGTAGTAGTAGTAGTAGTAGTAGTAGTAGTAGTAGTAACAATAATAGTGGAAGTTGAAGAGTTTCATTTTCTGTGATATCTCCCAGAAGATGGAACCCTACATAATCACCACTGTGAGAACCTCAGATTCTAAATAGTAGAAGTTATTTAAAAATCAATAAGGGATTACAGTAGAATTAAAAAAAAAAATATTTTGCCTCTGTACCTCCAATAAACCAGCCCTAAACATTTTAGTCCACAAAACAGAGCGGAAGCAAGGTACTTGGCACCACTCACCCTGTTGAACTCTTCAACATTTCGTTTCCGTTCCTCATATTGTGCAGTTACTTTCAAGTCATACATCATGTTTAGGATTGTGGAGTCATCCTGCTTTAAGTTTTTAATTCTGATTGTTATTGGATCCTTTTGAAGAACCTTGGCAATGTGTTCCATAATATTTTCAATAAATGTAAGTCCTTCAGTTGAACCTTAAAACAAAAACTGCTTGTTAAATGTTTTCAGAGAGGTAAAGGATAAGAAAATGGGAGAGGTTAAAGGAGGGATACTTTTTCTTCCGCATATAATCCAATATTACATAATGTCACGAGTAGGGCGGTATGTGTGGTGAGACAACAGGTTCTAGTTCAGATGATTGGATATATTAGCGCCTTTGTTGCAACCTCTCTTAATCACAACAAATCCATGCAATACAGCGCTATCGCTGATTTACACACTTTACATTTCACTGCTGCACATGCACTAGGATTCCCAGCCTTCACTAGTTGTCTCCTGGCAATGGATCTCAACACAGAAACTATAACAGTCTCCATGGATCACACACCCAATATGACTGTACTACCGCACACATAAAGTCTTCTGATTCACATGCAGAGTCCTCACATGACCTGTACTCTTCTGTACTCCTGATTTCAATATGCTCCTCCAGCTTACAATCGAATTTACTATGCTGAATTCACTTCTCGTATAAGCCTTTCGCACAGAGCATACAAAAAAACACAACCTCTACTTTGTTGTAATGCTTTCACTGAACCATTGCATAGCAACGGTCAGGCATAGACTCCATAGAAAGCCAGTCACGTGATAGCCATCTCATGAGCTCATTGGCATGCTTACTGTTGCCTAGCAATCAGCTATAAACATCCGTCCTATTGCTGAGCATGCATATGCGAGATGTTAATCGCTCAGTTGTGTAGCTATACATGTTAAAACATTAAATTTTGGTTGTTGAGAATAAAACACTTAAAAATCTCTGCCCATTTCAGATTATATAAGAATAGTTAGTATGAGCTTCCTTTAATTTGCAATATTTCATTTACTTTATCAGCAATGTTGTATGTGAAGCCATAGAAACAGTGATGAATGGCAAAAAATAATGTAGAAAAATTTTATACTTGACAGGAGTTTTATTTGGCCCTTCAAAATGAATGTTATGAAAATATGAAGTAAAAAAATATCAGGGTGTATTCCTTTTTCCCTTGATGTGATATTATGGAATGAAACTTACCTGGTGCCCTGCAGTAACTATTTGAGGCAGTGTCTGTTCGCACACCAAAAATTGTTACTGCCCAGGTGCTCGCATCATAGCAACTTTTCATGTGCTCTGGTATTGCAAAGGAAGCAGATTCATTCCAGGAAGAGCCAGCATCCTCATAGATATTTGCCTTCATATACTGGATCTTTCCGTCATCATCTGTTCCAACCTGAAAATATTATTTTTATTTCCTTTTAAACTTAGGTTTTGTGTTGTTAAACCTTAGGATTCCATTAACAGAGAATTACAGCAGGTAGTATTACCAGTCCATTCATATCAATTATCAGTACTGACAGAAGTCATTATATCTCAGAAACATCATGGGAACCAGCTTGGACTCCTAATGCTGCTGGGATTTTATGAATGTTGGACACTATGAAAATAATTTTGAGTGCCAAAATTGTACCCTGTCATAAAGTATGATATTGTAACATGCAACTGCACTGTTGGGGCAGAAGGAAAAGAGATTCAACGGGTTTGGTGAGTACTGGTAAATGAGTGATTGAAAAAGTGGATACTCGCGTGTCATTTGGTGTTATCTCCTTGGCAGTTAGTAATTCTGAAAGGTGGTGAAATTAGTGATTGATGTTTAGTTCAGTATGATTTAGGGAAAAATTACTCAACCAGAAGTGGGAAGTCACATTACTTATTTCATCAGAGAGTGAACCTAATAGAAAAAAAGGACTGAGCATTTACTTGTAATAGTGGGGTAATTGTTTGGTTAGTCAGTCATTTGGGACATAAAAGCAAAAGGAGTTATGGACAGCATTACATTATCTGTTGCTTGTGTGGATTTGTTTTTGCACATTATACCATGATTCTGATGTGGTTGCTACTGTAGAGCTCATATTTGTGTCACCACAAACTTAGCAATAGTCTGTGTCAGAATCTTTGATCGACATGTGACCATCTGTCCCACCTCCATGATCTTGCTCATCATATCCTTGAGTGCCTTTCAACCTGTTAAGCACCCTGAGATCCATTGCTGAACCAAGAGAACTGACTTCATAAAACAAATTATAACCAAGATTTGAGGGGATGGTTATAGTTGTTACACGTTTTTCACAATATCCAGACAAATTAAGAATGCCTAATGCACTTAACAGTGGCTGTTATATCCTTCAGAATCCAGTGTCAGATTTTGATGATACTTCATATGAAAGATCCTTTTTCTAACATGATGACAAAGCATGAATTTAGATGTTCCTGGCCAGTTTATACTGCTGTAATGCATCAGTATATGATATTGTGGGGCTCTTGTCAACGTGTGTAGTCTTGTCATTACTCCGATGACAACCCACTTCTTCGGAACAGTTTGTTGGCCCTGAAAAGGACCGTGGCTGCTGAGATGATTGACTGGTGAGGTAGCGCGGCGCGCGCCGGTAAGGAGAAAGGCTAGTGAAAAGGCCAGTCGTTGAGCGCGGTCGTAGGAGCCATGAGGCAGTGGCTACGCCAGAGGCCCAGTGGGTCGGACCGTAACACGACCACCGGCGAGTCCAGACGCGGTGCCCCAGTGAGTCGGGTGTGAGAGCGCCGGAGGGCCGAGGCAGTCGTGCCCGGCGCAGCCTGCCGATGTCTCCG